AACATACTATAAATCCAAATTGTTTACCAGTAAAAATCGAGTCCATTCAAATATTTGCTTGTACACATGGTTGATACAATCATAGCCCACTCACAACTACTATAATAAAATAATAACTTGGCTGTTGAGTGCTTCCCTCGATATTCCCCGACGCCTTGGCGGAGGGATCGCGGGGCACGAAACTAAGCCAAGGTGTCGTTTTTTTATAATTCTCTCCGGGCCTGAATTATATCAAAACAAATAACAGTTGCACACAAAATTTACACACTATATTATATTGTACACATTATCGCGGGTATCACTCAACAGCCAAGCAAGGTATTGTTTTAATAATATAATTTCTCCGGTTCTGGATGAAATAATGTGTAATGTGATACGTGCGCATGATATTGATACAATATATCATAATAGTGTGTAATATAATATTGTGCGCAGTTACCAGTACGTGTTCACGACTTTCGGGGATATAATTCCCGGAGAGAATTATAGTTGTTACAGTACGTTCGGTCTTTTGAAGTTTCGGAAACTTTCATGTAAGATTTAATTTTGCTTATCTGTTCAGTTGTTTTGCCTTGTTTCAATTATGCAGAGTTGATATGATGCAAAAGATATGGTGTTTTAATCTTAATCATAATACCGAGGAGTAGGAGGAGGAGGTATATGTGAACAAACATACATGACGTACATTATACAACATGTACATTGTACATTGTACAGCATGCAAATCGTACAACATGTACAATAAGGCAAGTTGTGGGTTCAGAAGCTTTCATTCTCAGAATCTCAACAACTTTTGTTAATCAGTTGTTCAGCTACACTGCCATGTTTACATTATCATACAGAGGATATGATGCAGTAGAGAGTACTAAATCATTGTACTTGTAGACACGAAGGTACCTCTCTTATACGTGAAGAGGTGCAGGCAGCTTATTTATTAGTGTCACCTATTATTAATATTATAATATTATATCAACTATGTTGAGATTCGTTAAAAGGACCGCAATCACATCATGTTAGTGTTACCATCCCACAAAGAGGAGACCATGTCATTCCTCCAGCAAAGCAGCTGAATAATTAATGTTTATTAATTTATTGTGCAATATTGCCCTTTCTAATTAGTTGTAATGACTCTTTTGTTTCATCTTCCAATCTCAATACGTCTGCAGTTGAGTTAGGGCGAAACGTCAGAGCTTCCACCGCGGTGACTCTAACAATTGTTTATGTAGTCTTTGTTCTTCAAGTTCAATTCTTTACAGACTAATATTAAGTTTATCTTATTTACTTCTTTCAGTCTCATTTAAGTTACTCGGAAAAGAGATGTCCATTATTTCTTGCTATCCTGCGGTTGTCATGAAAAGTGAAATTGTCAATTAAATACTTATCAGCTCTTCAAACTTTCAAAGTTGTTGGATAGTTGGAAATTATAAGTATAAATCAGGATCTTTTTGTTTGTGCATTTTAATTCATCTAACGAATATTGTTCCTTAGACAACGCAGCTATTAAGATTCATTTTTTCTTAAAACTTAACATTTTTATAGTTTTATTTTTAAACAAGCCGCCTGGGTTGCCGGCGTCAAAAAATATTCCATTTTTTCCTGTTTGGCGGTTGCAGATTCGCTTTATATTTTACGCAACTTTATGTGCAATCTTGCAATTAAGATGAAAACAGTTTATATACTGCGCCTTAATCATAATGGAGCCTCAGGGGCTAACACACCATAAAGCTGTTTGACTGCATGTTCATTCGACAACTGGCATGTCTCACAGATCATTGTCCCAACAGCTTACGGCCATTACTCACAAATTAGCAATCATCCTTGGATCATTAAAGATAGCGGAGACTGGTGTTAAATCCCCACCTAATTCTTTCCGCCGCGGCTCATCTCTCTATTTTCTCAGACTAACAGATGATCTTTTGCCTTTGTCTTTTGTCTTTTTATTTGGCCGCCCTACGGTGCTTTATAAAAATTCATTTTTCAAACCTTAATCGCGATGGCAGGCTCTTGTTTTATATTTGTATCTCTGGCAATGCTGGGATGTACAGTTGGACTAAAATTGTTACTTAATTGATAGATAATAACTTAATAAATAAAGCAACAGACTCCGCTTGAATTTAATAGGCCACTTCTAAATCTCATTGCCTTTAATTCGGCGTATATAAAGATAATGACAAAGTCTAAATACCTTGAACCACACTCATTCCTGGCGATTATAATAATAATATGTCAATTAAAAGTACAGTTAAAATAGCAGGATTGCAGTCTTAGATTTCATAATAAAGTAATAATGCCAGCCAACTCAGAGTGCCCATTAGAGTTAAACTATAGAGTAACCACTGGTTTCTTAGAGATTGAAACGGGGTTTAGACTGGTCCGCATATCTCTTTTGTTGCCCGTTTCTTTATCTTAGCAGTTACAACATACATACTACATCATTTCCACTGTAGTAGACTGTACTGCAGCCCAAACTTTAATCCTGGACAATAGAGTTACAATCGCTTTTATAGCGTAATTTCTAATCCCTCCAAGTTTAAAGTTAATTCTACAGGCAGTTGTGGAGTATCACTGAATGTTTTTGATTTTACAAACTATTAATCTGTTTTTGCTCTTTTGAGTGGGTCGATCATATAATTGATGTTTTGGGACAAAGTGAGAGTCTCCACTCAGTTGTAAGACTGAGTGGAGACTCTCATTTTGTACCAAAACATCAATTGTTTTTACAAACTGTTGAATTTACATTTAGATTGTTTGCATGCAAACTTGAAGAAACGTGCACTGGAAATAGAATCGAGCTTGTAGCATGCAAAAGCAGTTTATTTTATCGTTTTATCTGCCATTGAATTTGAGGTATGAAGCAATTTATACAGTTCCGTAAACTTACGCACATTATTTGTATGCCTATCATCAGTTGCTTTAAAGATTGGTTAAAAGGTCACTACCACAATTGTTCAATAAAAATTGTGAATTATGTTCCAAGAAAGTTAAATCATTATACCTTGAGAGGGTATCCACAATTTCTAATGAACATATATGAAATTGTTGAATATTGCTTTGAACGGATATTTTGACAAACTTTGAGGAAATGATGATTTGATTACGCAAACCAGAAACCCCCCTCCCCCCTCGTAATCATTTGAAACCCCCTCCCCAGTCCCCTTTTAAACTATTAAATATTTGTAATCGTAATATCGATACTGATTACATAATACGACGTACCACTGTCACAAGTCACAAACCCCTTATAATGATACCAAACCTCAAAGACCGTAATCGGAGTGCAAACATGTTTTTGTTATTTAAGTGTTGATCGTTGAAGCATCATTGTTATTCAGCACAGACCATGTTTAAGAGTTTTAAGAAAGGAGAAGTTGAAACTTCCTTTTAACTTCAAGGATACCTGTTTTTCCTCTGCTTTTCATTCCAAGGGGATCAAGAATTCAACAGAACCGGAAAGATGATAAGCGATAGGATTAGTTCATATTATTATTTATCATCGTGTAAATACGTAACGCGAATTAAATAGGTAGTAATTATTTTTTAGTCTCTTGAGTCTTGACACCACTTTAGGGTTAGACGGGTTCCTGCTAGTGCTTATAATTCATAGTGATATTGAACCCATATTATTCAGTATTCACCAGGCCACCAACTTTAATCATGTTTTATTCTAAAAGTCATGCAATGGTGACCATTTCAGAACCTGTTAGTCCTCGTAGTTGCAGTAAAGATTGAGCGAGTTTATCGATTGAGTATCACTAACATACCACATCTAGCATACCATATCTAGCATACCATATCTAGCATACCATATCTAACATACCATATCTAACATACCATATCTAGCATAGAAAACTAAACGAAAACATTTTCCATAATTCAGCCCTTCTAAACCGAGCTCCCTAGCCTTACCCTAGCCCCACCCTAGCCCCACCCTAGTCCCACCCTAGTACCACCCTAGTCCCACCCTAGCCCCACCCTAGTCCCACCCTAGCCCCACCCTAGTCCCACCCTAGCCCCACCCTAGCCCAACCCTAGCCCCACCCTAGTCCCACCCTAGCCCCACCCTAGTCCCACCCTAGTCCCACCCTAGCCTTACCCTAGCCCCACCCTAGTCCCACCCTAGCCCCACCCTAGCGCCACCCTACCCCACCCTAGCTCCACCCTAGTCCCACCCTAGTCCCACCCTAGTCCCACCCTAGTCCCACCCTAGCCTTACCCTAGCCCCACCCTAGCCCCACCCTAGCCCCACCCTAGCCCCACCCTAGTCCCACCCTAGCCCCACCCTACACATCTCCCTCTATTAAACTACTATTACTTTTACACGGGACATTAGATCACGACAACATCCCACTTTGAGGCCAAACAGAGCAGATTGTTAGTCTCCAACAGCTGCTATGAACAGAAGGGGTAGTCTACCTGCCTTTTGTTTCCCTTGTCTGGGAGTACCAATAATCTTGGTAGCATGGTGGCGACTTCATGGGTCTGGTCGCGGTGTAGTGAATTAACTGGATAATGTTATCTAACAAAAGGTTCTCCTCCACATCAAGTCATCAATTTAGATGTCCTCGTTTAGTTAGCGTTTTCCTGGTCTCCGTCAGTTTCTCCTCATAAGCCTTACTGTTTATAGTATGGTTATTCCTTATCAGCTTACATTTTCAACTTATTTCTTTACTATTGCACGTTGCATCGTTATGAGTATTATCTTATTTTATAATGGTTATTATTATAGTGCTTTTTTGTTTGGTCAGACTTGAATTGTCCGGCAAAAATGTAATAGTATTTTACATTACTCAATAAAATTAACGACCAATTAATATCTCTGTTATCAGAAAGTAGCATTTTGTTGCTAGTTGGCATTTAAGATTCATTAATTGCATAGTCAACTTAAATCCTGAGTATTACTAACTTTTAGCACAAGATCTGAATTTCGATTGAAAGCAATTATGAATTAGCATTATCAATTATTAGGAAACAGATCAATGACCATAAATCATCGCAGGTATAACAAGGCCAATGACCTGAAACATCATGATAAAAAACCCGGCAGCAGACCACACACAGGACCTTGCAAACGGACAAAGTAACCAACATGAGGGTCAGGTGACTCTAATGAGTAATGGAGGCTCACCCCCGGCCCCGCAGAGTAAGAGAATGGTGAAACAAGATACCGTGGGGGACTATCTGGACGACGCTGATGAGATGGAAATGGACGGGGTGGACGTGGAGGTCAGGTCCCCACTCTCCCCCGGTCTTGGTAACCTCTCCAAAGTCCTGGCTGTCAAGTCTATGGCAACCAAGTGGAGGAAGAAGGTTATCAAGAAGAATGATCTGAACATGGCCTTCTCGGATTCGCCTCACGTGCCTCAGGTGGATGCTTGTCATGCCATGTACTGGACCAAGCGAAGGTCTGTCCCTCTTAAGAACTATCACGACGAGGCTAGAGCAGAAAAAGATATCTCCAAGTTCCTCGAGAACCCAGTAGTGTTGTTCAAAGTGAGAGGACAGCAGTGGAAAGACATTGCACACGAGATGTTGGAAAATATCAGGGTGCTGAAACCCAGCTTGAACCTGAACGTAGAGCGCACCTACAAATGTCTGATAAGTGGTGCTGGAGATTACACCATCCCAGAGTTGGTGCAAGGCCTGGTCTACAACCAAGAATCAGACATTATCTGCGAGCAGAGCTTTGTGGTGGTCCTTGGTTCAACCCCCGCCGTTTTGGAGACCCAGACCTCCTTTGCCATTCTGAAGAACTCCGTTAATCTAGGAGCTCTAATGGCTGAGGTTAAAATGATATGCATGATCCTCTCCCCGGTAAAGAGCAAACAGACCAAGTCTGGGATAGAAGTAGGGAGGACGTACACAACGCTACTCTCTGATCTGGAACTGCGGAGAAGGTTGATGGAAAGCAAGACTCCAGCAGAGTTTGCTGCAATTGTTAAAGAGGGCTGCACTCATGTAATGGATAAACATACTGAAGTGTACAAACAGGAGAAGGTGATGACACAGGAGGAAGAAGAAGGAGACAATAATATCTCTCCTGTTACAAAGTTCTTCAGAGATATCATGCCGCCTGGTAAACTCCTGTGGAGGGACATTAAGCGGAGGAAAAAACACTACATTTCAGATTTCACGGAGGGCATGGACAGTTGGAGATCTATCAAAAAATATGGCACGTCTATCATCTTCTTGTACTTCACTTTGCTCTTGCCTACCATGGCTTTTGGGGTTTTGAACGCTGACAACACCTATCAGGAGATTGAGACCAGGAAGGCTATCTTAGCGCAGGCGTTCGGTGGTATTATATTTGCTCTGTTTGCTGGGCAGCCACTGTCTGTTGTTCAAACCACAATCCCCATCGTTCTTTTTATTAAACTGGTTTGGACATTCAGCCATGATTTGTTCAACGTGGATTTTTTAACTTTCTACACACTGGTGGGCCTTTGGAATGGATTCTTTCTAATCGTGATTGCTTTTACCGGGGTTAGTCAAATCATGGCCTTTTGCTCCAGATCTACGGAGGAAATAGTGGGTATATTTACCTCAATAGCTTTCATAGTGGACAGCATGAAATATGTGAGCAAGCAGTTTAGTCAGTACTGGTGCGAGGAAAGTGGGTGTGACAGGAGTGTTGCACTGGCAGTCTTCATTGTGACATTTGGGACACTTTTCATTGCCTTACAGATCTACAATTTCAAGTGGAGTCCATTCCTCAGCTCCGGGAAAAGGAAGTTGGTGGCGGAGTATGCTCTGCCTTTCTCCGTGCTCGTTATGTCACTAATTGGCTCTTATTTCATGAGTAATGTTAATCTAGAGACTTTTACAGATGCGAAATATGAGATGGAGCCTACGTATTCGCCGTTTGACTATCGGCCCATGAAGTTCTACGGGTGTTCAGAAGACCACCACGTGGAGAGAAGAGCAGCCACGGACGGGGAGGCTGAGGAGCCTTGCAAAGCCATCGGAGCTGCATCTTTCATCACAAGCGCAGCTCTCGGGTTTATAGTGTCCATGCTGTTCTTCGTGGAGGCAAACCTAGCAGCCAGTATGGTCAACAATCCTCACAATAAATTAAAGAAAGGGTCCGCGTATCACCTTGATATGTTGACGACAGCCATCATCAACATTATCCTGAGTATATTCGGGTTGCCCTGGATGCACGCCTGCCTGCCAACATCCCCCATGCACGTGCGAGGGCTAGCGGACGTGGAAGAGAAGGTTGAGCTGGGGTACGTGAAGGAGATAGTAGTGCGGGTGAGGGAAACGAGAATAACAACCCTGATAGCAAACATCCTGGTCTTCATCTCCCTCCTCATGATCCCCGTTCCCCTAGAGTACATTCCGATCCCTGCCCTGTACGGGGTGCTCCTCTTCATAGCCATTTCCTCCTTGTCTGACTTCCAGCTGTGGGAGAGAGTGTTGTTGATGCTGACCGAGCAGACTCTCTACCCGCCCATACATTACATTAGGAAGGTGCCGCAGAAAGCTGTTCACACCTTCACAGCGCTGCAGCTCCTTCAACTGGGCGTGCTTTGTGGCCTGTCATTTTCTGGGATAGCTTACTTGAAGATGCTCTTCCCCTTTATAATAATCGCTCTTATACCGATCAGAAAGTTTTTGATACCCAAAGCTATTCACGAAGATCATTTGGAAGCATTGGACGGATCACATTAATGACTTAGTGGAGGAGTGCATGTTTTAGACTGTTTTGTTGATTATTAAGTTTTAATATATCAGACGGAGCTTATTAGTCTGGAACTTTTAAATACTTTTTGAAGGTTTTTAGCCGTTTTTAGAATTATTAAGAAAGTCTATTATGAGATAACATGATGTGCATTCTGCATATTGTGATAATGATATTTTGAGGGGTATTTAGTAAATAAATTATAAAGCCGTGTTTTGGATTGATCTAAATAACTATGACAGTGTCTCCCGCAGATAGTATTAAGAATAGGAGAAATTGTAGTACCTTGTTATTCGTTGGAACATGGAAAATCATAATGTACCATTATCAATTAGCTTTGAACTTATAAAATTTTCTGATCTGAGATGATTGAGGGAAAGATCCGGTACATTAATTTATTTAACTATTGAGTGTAGCATTCATTGATCATTTGCTTGAATTATTAACTATTTGATATATAAGATTTTAATAATTAAGAAGTCTGGGTGATAGCAATTTTATGTGAGCTTTGATAATGTCCGTCAGACAAAGTATTCTGATAATTATTTTAAAGAGAGTTCCAAGAAACCGATATTAGCGACCATCAGTTAGCCGACTGATTCTCTGAATTTTATAGTTATTTTAAAAGGACGATCACATGAGCTTCTCCCTGGTCAACGTGACCAGACTATCTTGTTGTTAAACAGAGCGGAAATTGTTAGTTTTGTAGATTTATGGTAAGATTGAATATAACTTCGACACTATTCAGACCAAAGCGTTTTCCCAATCAGTTTCAACGAAATTACAAGATGATTGCCATCAGAGTCACTAAGTAACTGACTAAGTAACTGAGCTACCGCGGAATGAGCACAACTTGGCGATCTGGAAATAGTATAATAGACAATCAGTACTCTTTAATAACGACAATGTTTTAAACAACGACATGTTATTTACAAAATTGACATTCAAATAGACAATTAATCAATAATTAATGGTTCATTAGTTATCAAGATTAGAAACTGGCTGTTTAATAAACTCACGTAAATCATGCTTGCCAGAAACACTTACAAAGTTGCCATTTTTAACACCAACTTTTATCAAACACACGGTATAATAATATAAACCCTGATCAAGTGGGTAGTGTTTGTTATAATTAAAAAATTGTTTTAAATCTGATCAGATAATAATGAACTAAGGTATTAAGGTATAATTCAGGTACAAACGAGGCGAATTTCTGTAGAAGAAAAGCAACAAAAAAGTAGCTCTGTTGTGATTAGTGAGCAACTAAGGTGAGCAACTACCTTTTTTGTAAAACTCCAGATAAGTTTAGGAGGACTGAATAGCACTCAGATAAACTAGATATAAAACCACAATTAATATAAATAGTACATTACAGGTGTGTTACCAGTCCGTGGATACTGGACCAGACGTTCGCGTTGGTCGCTTTAAATCGAGCCAATCGGCAATCAGTCAACATGACCGGAGAATAACCATCAAGGGGATTATCCCGCCTGATGACTATCCCGCCTGATGACTATCCATTATAAGGCATAATATTATCACAGATCCTCTACCTAACCCTAAACAAATCTCAAGAAGGCAGTATTCAGATAGCCCGACAGGTGTCCATGGACAGTTGCCCACGGACAGTTGTCCACAAACATCTTATGGAAAGTTGTCGACAAACATCTTATAACATTATATGACCGCATGACAGTACATTGGATCAAGCAGGGTTCACATCTTCGCAAGCACGGTTGATTCACACCATCGCACGCGAATTTCAATCAACTAATTACCATCATTGAAATTTGAATGGTATCATGTATGGTATTTTGGATGCAATTAATTATGACTAGCATTGCCATTAATGGGGCCGGGGGTCTCTCGAAATCAACTTTTATATAATTGTTTCTGAAAGAGGGGAGTGATATCTATCAGCTGCTTTTAATCCCATTGAAAAATATTGTTTCTAGCCGAAATTATCGCCGGTTGAAGGTCAGCGCTTATGTGTAATTGTATTGCGCGAGCGATTTTAAATCGCGCGTTCTGAAAATCGAGTCTAAAAATATATCTTCTCCTACATTTTTTGAATAATCACCCTCAAACTTTCAGGATAATATGTTCTTAGGATCAGTTAGAAGAGAACTCTAGAGCCAGAATTTTAAGATAGGCCTTTAAAGAGTTTTAATTCGATTTTGAAAATCTTGGACCTCTAAAAATCGGCAAAAATCGATGTCCAAGATTTTCAAAATCGAATTAAAAATCTTTAAAGGCCTATCTCAAAATTCTGGCTCTTCTAACTGATCCTAAGAACATATTATCCTGAAAGTTTGAGGGTGATTGCTCAAAAAATGTAGGAAAAGATATATTTTTAGACTCGATTTTTAGAACGCGTGATTGAAAATCGCTAATACAATTACACATAATATAAGTGCTGACTTTTGACCAGCAATAATTTCGGCTAGGAACAATATTTTGCCATGGGACCAAAAGCAGCTGATAGATATCACTCCCATCTATCAGAAACAACTATAAAGTCGATTTCGAGAGAATTTTGATGAAGACTCCCGGCCCCCTTAATTGTAGCGTAGTAAATTGCTGGATCAAACTATTGATTGGTTACCAGATGTTATGACCGCATACCAATCATTAAATTTTCTGACATTAAATGGTACATGTATGGTATCTTGGATATAATTAGTTACGAAGTTACGACTAGCATTGATTGTATATATTACTCAATGAAATAAATGATTACGATTTAAATGTGGTTTATAAGTCGTTCGTTTTTGGTGGAGAGTTGTCAGTTACCATCATTAACTACAACAACAACTATACCAATTTCTGACATGGTACTCTTCTGTCTACTAGACGAAATCTATGGACCCACGGTCTCCATAGAGAACGAGCCTTCCTATTCCACAAAAACCTTCTAAATAGCTCCATGTCATGATGTGGACCCTGCTTGATCCAGTGCCTGTTAACTGTCCATAAGATGTTTGTGGACACCTATCGGGCTATCTGGATACTACACTAAATAACGCTATAACCAAAACCCAGCCATAATTAATACATCCTATATCCTGTTAGGTGATACACACTCTCTGGCTCGTAGGACTATTGGACTAACCCCCCTACAGCTAGTATAGTGCCTCGGCACAGAGTGGCTTAAGGTTACCGAAAAGGAGATAAGCCACTCAGGCCATCCCAACTTGTGGGAAAGACCTGCCCTTGTATAATATTGTATATTGTATATCCTGTTAGTCAGAAGAGGTACATTAGAAACTGTTAGTCAGTGTAATAAGCGCCAACCGCGAGCACAGAACTTTTTTTCTCCGATTTCGATAAATTTGGTACCAAAAGTTGTCTAAAAATGTGAATAAAATAAATCCACCGTGTAGCAATTTTCGCTAAAAATGCTACACGGCGCTTGTTTGGCGCGCGTGCTTTTTTCGCGCAAATTTTTAGTTTTTGGCCTATAACTTTAACATTTTCAGTTATTATCACATTTAATTATTATGGCATTGTAATCAGCTCATCGAGACGAAACTTTTAGTACTAATATTTTAAGATTTAAAGGAAAATTATTTTCAAAAACTTTAAATCTGAACACAAGGGTCCCCCTTGTGTGAAATTTTGAGCAAATTTTTGAAAAATTTAGTGCTTCAAAAATTATAATTTTTGTACTAAAAGTTGCGTCTGACTAAGTTCATTTCGATCCTGTAAGAATTATTTCAAAAAATTCAATATTTTAGGAGTTATATGCATTTTAAGCAATAAATTACCTATCTTTCGTCCTTTGTACACTCTTGCGATGCACAAAAGGACCATATACAGCTCGACGTTATCGTGCTACACGGTGAATTTTCATTATTCACACTTAGAGGCAATTTTTGATACCAAATTTATCAAAATCAGAGACAAAAAATTCTGTGCCAGCTCATGGCGCTTATTACATAGACTATGTGTAAAGTACTGATATTATAGCGGAGCAAACAAAGCGGCTATACCCCATCTGCTGAACAGTTATGTAGTTGGCAAGGCAAACCTGAACAGCTATGCAGTTGGCAAGGCAAACCCGGCAATGGAAGTACTATTTTTTCATAACCCCCACAATGGAAGTATTATTTTTATAACAACACCAGGAATTAATTAATTTGTTAGAGTACTGAACTCAAGAAGGCTGAGAACTGGTATTTTAATTTTTAACCAGCATGCATGACCTCAATATTCAGAGAATGAATTGTATTGCCGCGTTGTCACGTGACATCGAGGTTTAGTGAACAAGTGCGCCCGCAACAACAAAACGTTTTCGCGCGCTACAACTTCAGTAGACTTTGCTAGTTGTGGGAACAAATTTGCCAGTGGTCATCTGAACTCTAATAAAAAACAAGGTCACGGGATACTGGATAGTCAGATCTCTATTCTGAAACGTGAACGTTTGTGTCTGAACTAACTGAAGAACCTGGACATAACTGTACCAGCTCACTTAAATTGCAGCCAAGTATCTCTGCATGCCTCAAAGTAACAAAAGCCAATGTTTCAGTAGCAATTTCGAGGGTCACACCGTAGGACATGTTCAGATATTGCTGAGTCCGATCGTTCGTCTGCTTCGGTCTGATGGTCAGAAAAGTTAAGAAAGATCGTTTGAAATCGTCCACATCCTTCAGTTTCTGGAATGTAACGTCGATGTCTCCGAGCTGGGATGCTTTCTCTAGTAATATGCTGGCAAAACGCCAGTCTGACCGGATCTCATATGGCTGAAATTTGAACAGTTGATAATTGTCAATTCCTTTATGAAAATCAATAGTTTGGAGTTCGATTTTAAACCAGAGGACAGAGAGGTCTATAAATTTAAGGTTTAGCATAAGAAACAAGATCTTTAAATCTGAGCATAATAAACAAGATCTAAAACCGAAGATGAATTGTTAAAGAGACTCACCACAGGGTAGGTATCAGAAGTGTCCTCTATAACTTGACTCTCAGTCATTTTCAGATCCTTCAGGTCCTCCAAATTGTTTGGCAGATTGTCAATATTAACGGGAGCAAAGCAGGCCGCTTGAGCAGACCTACTGTCCTCATACTCCGACACAATCCTGCTCCTTACACTGCCCTGAAACTCGTCCAGATCAGTATAATGATAGTCCGGTACAAACTCCTCCTCCTTCTCCTCCTCCCCCTCCTCCATTGTCTCTCCTGACTCGCTACTCCCCTCCTCCTCTTCCTCCTCTTCTCCGAGTATCTCCAACTTTAGCTCCGCGTACATCATCTTAGAGCATGCTAGTTTAGCGATCTTCTTGCTGGAGCCGCGCCCCTGTTGAGTGTGTGATCCTATACACACTTCTAGCAAGTAGTCACTCCGACTCCCTCCAGGGGATTCTAACACTTGGTAGGAGGGCTTAGCTAGCTTGTGTCTCTGTATAAACTCCTGGGGTAAATTTAGGTTAGTTACTTGACACCATCAAGATAGGAAAGTTTAACATGATTTTCGGAGCCATTTTCCGTTTCTACTTTAAACGTTTTAAAATCTTGACTCAAATACACATGTATGCTTGAACGTGTCAACTTACGTGTAACAGAGCTACAGCATTTTTCCTGATCCTCCTCCCGGCCCCAATAACTCTCTGCTGAGATACCTCCTGAGCGGTTATCTTCTCTAGCTCTTTTACTATGTCACGTGCTGCATTGTTCTTTGCTTCTTGTTTTGTTTTCCCTGTTCCTACTTTGTCCTGGAGAAAGGGACCATTTAGACAACACTGGTAATAGCACGGCAGTAGAAATTAGACATACTTTCACGAATAGACGTAGTTTTCAAGTTTTGCTCAATTTGAAACAAAATTAATGATGGTCAGGCCGGTCGGATAGGAAGAGGAAAATAAAACACAAAATACGCACTGTATTAGTGTGTAAAAGTAAAATCTCCAGTTTCTCCTAAAGTGAATTTAACCATTTGTAAAATAAAATCCCCACAAGTAGCACTCACATACAATGACGAGATCAGGAACACGGAGTGTCAGTGAGTATAGGATCCCAGTAGGGGTATCCGAGGGAACACATGACACTACTACTGGCAGTGAGATCTGCTTCCGGGTTAGGTGCTTGTTAAGGAGATCCAGGTAGTGGTTCTCTCCTTCCGTCATCCAACCTTACTGAATTAGTTTTATTAAGCTGTTATTTTAGGTTATTTGTGAGGTGATTTGGCCTAGGAATTCTCAAATTAACTGAGCTCAATGTTATCAAGTTCAAAGAAAAGTATTATAAATTATTCATTAACTAAAGGTGGAGAAGCAAAGAAAGACAGTTGTTGTGATTTTATGTAGATAAATTATTGGAAACAAAAAATTACAGAATCAAAGAAATTCATGCATTGTTGTGGAAGTGCCATCTTCGTAAAAACCTCTTACCTTGAATTCAATATGTTGACACTTGAAAAGTTTTTAAAATAAAAAAATATTATATTAAACTTTCGAAAAATGATCAAAACATGCTGTAAAATATTTGCAGCTTTAAAATCGTAAATTCATTCTTGAATTATTATACAATAACTTTTCAATTAAAAATTATTAATTGATCATCATTTTTAAAACAGTATACAGGGTGTGTCAAAATTAACTATGTTGATTTATAAAAAATGATAAAAGTTCATTCGGACCCCCCGAGTGGCTTGTAAAATGTACACTATTATCTACATAACGTATCAAAACAAACTAATCATCGACCATTAAACCACGTTACTTATCATCTAAAAACCACATTTATGTCCGCTCAATTCACTTCTTCTTCTTGTTCTTTCCACCACCACTACCAAAGAACATGGCAGCCGCCACCCCAGCAATAGCTACCCCCGCAATAGCCGCTCCAGCCGCTATTGGTGCCACTATATCAACCCAGGACTCCTCCTTCTCACTCTGAACACTAGAGGAGGGTCCGCTAGAGGAGAAGGTCCCTACTTCTTGTTTCAGACTTGGTTGTGAGCATGTTGTTGAGACTAGTGATCTTCCTGGTTGAGATGAGATGCTACGTGGAGGGAGGGAGTTAGGACGGGTACTGGAGTTAGGAGAGGTACCGGAGTTAGTACTGTCTCCAGGGTTGGTATCCGGGAGCAGGTTAGTGCTAGCATCAACAAACTCATCACGTGACTCATCACGTGACTCGTTACTTCTGCCTTTGTTCTTTAGCACTGCTACTCCACTGATAAAATGTAATTTTAGTGGTTCTACAATATAAATGCACTATCATCCAACATGTTAACACTTAACAGTTTTCTTTTAGAATCAGTACCTATTGTTGCAGATTGAGTTAATTTTTGACACGCTGGGCAATGTTGAGCATTTCAGCAAGTTGTTTTATGGAACTCTTTCGTAAAAATACTTTAGAGCTTTTATTTAGATTAAAAGGAAATGAGATTAAGTAACAGTACCAACCTTGATACAATTTGTAAAGCGGTCTGTTCGCCAATTCTCCTATCTTTCACCACATCGAAATAGATCCCATTTTCTTTAGTGATAACATACGGAATTTTACCTGCCACTATTCGTCCTAATCCACTGAAAATAACCTTCGGTTATAAGTTTATAAGTTTATACTAAATACCATCTTACCATACATATCTAATGCCCATTCTAACCAAATTTAAGTTTGATACTTCCAACTTCAATTTCTATATACTAAGGTTAAACAGTAAAAACAGAGAATTTACAACAAAACCATAGCAGTTTAAAAACCCGACCAAAGGCAAAATAAACAGTAAGACAAACAGGTAACAAGAATTGCGCCCGTTGTTTCGTTTAGGCGGACGCTAGATTTCCATTCCACATTTACTATAAATTTAAGTATAAGCTCCAATCAGCTCACTTCAATCTTCATGATAATAATATTGATAAATTAAAACGTCCATTCGTAACCTTCCACTTTAAATTTTTACAAAATGGTGGATGGAAAAAATTAAAATAAATAAAACAAACATTTGCTGGAGAGTGTTGGCATCAGCTTCACATAGGAACTTATCAGTGTCCGTATTATAGTAGCACTCCCAATAAGGGCTGGACTGATCATGCAGGATAACACTGCACGAGGTAGAGGCAGGAGCTCTTCCTATCACTATCTTACCAAGGCCTCTGAAAGAAGGGTTTTTAAAAATAACATCAGGAAATTAATTGTTATATTGGGGATACAAATGGCATTTTGATTTCGTTTTCTAACGTAACCAGTGTAAGTTTACACAGTAACTGAATAATACATTATTTACCAGGTTACTAAGTTACTTGATAGTTACTAAGTTACTTACTGGTTACTTAGACTCTGTGCCTCATTAGGAGAAATGAACTGTTTGATAGAAGTGTTGTAGAACTGTAGAGACTCTTCTTTTGAAGAATCGTAAATTATCTCAAACCTGTTGTAATAATAAAGCGTCTTAAACAAAGCAATTCTAGTGATATTAGAACTGGAAACTGGCACTGATATTACTACTGGCACTATAACTAAAAACTGCCAAATTGAATTTATGACTAGTAGGCATGAATAGTTATCAGCCATATTATGGACCAAAAGTAAAGTTTCCCAACTTACTGTGCCATAGTTTCACGGTCTTTAAACAGAGCTTTCAGTGAACTAGTTTTCAGTGAGCTAGTTTTCAGTGAACTAGTTTTCAGTGAACTAGTTTTCAGTGAGCTAGTTTTCTCGAGACTAGAGTCGCGCGTTGGCCCTTCCTAGTGGACATGAACTGTAGAAGTTCTTATAAGATGTATCTGTCAAATGGTATAACGTCGATTTAGTATTATAACAATGATAATATAACTGTCGATGATCATTATCTTTTTGATATAAGAAGTCCTTCAAGACATACATTTTATTAAGTTAAGCGTGGCAATAAAAAGGTCGCAAAGACGCAAATTACGAGCCAGTGGATACTTCATTATTTATTCTCATTTTACTTAGTTAACAGCATTTTTATCTTCTTCAATTAGTGATAAATCATAGTTGCCATTATGGACGAGGAAGGACAGCAATGGACAGAAATAATATTAAACATTATAATGCATTCATACAATACAATGGTCTAAAACGATATTACACAATATAGTAAAATAAAATATATATTATGTAAAACAAAAATTTGATAAAAATTTCGACTGTTTTGGTTCGACTAACGTTTGCCGAGGTTTAAGATGAAATAAAATCATAGAACTATTCATAATCAACAAGGTGCAGGTTCGTGATTTTCTTCGACAAAATCTTAAATCTCCAATCTCCATGCATGATTCAAATCAAAATGAGCCGTTAAAAATTTTAAAATTGAAGTAAGATTACATGTTAACGTTGACTTAATCATTGTCCTACTCTGGGATTCAATTCTTGAAACGTTCTTTTTTTGCTCGTCATCTTCAAAATAAACCTTTCCTTGACGGTACTTCCTAGAAGCAGCACACGGCCCATTTCGGACTTGCACGAGTTATAATTAATTAAATTGACGGTAAAACACTCTTTCTTCGTTTTCTCTTCTCCCCGAGATAATTATATTTAAGAAGAGCACCAAATGTAACTGTCGCTGCTGCAGCTACAACAGCTACCACTGTTGGAACTGCGGTCCCTATCAAAGGTGTTGCAGCAACACTCTGCAGGGAAGCAAACCACGATCCAGCAGCCACGCTGCCAATACCAGACTGGATCCAAGCAGCTGCTGAACCAGCCGCTACACCTGCTGATGTGAATCCCATTGCAAAGGGGACTGAAGCAGCTCCAGCAGCTACTGCTGTGGTTCCACCTGCAACTGTTCCTCCAACCAAAATTCTGGGAGATAAATTTATGTGTCGGGTTTTAGCTTATCTGGGCGTTTGAGTGCTTTTTTAATGGGAGAATCTGAAAAATTGTAGTAGTGGACAAAACATACGCCTTATCATTTCTTGTAAATGGACACGTTCAAAAAAAGGTGGCACTAGAGATTGATTTTTTTAAATGCGTTTTAAAAATAGTCATTGTTCTTTGTTGGTTGATATATCTATCTATACCTATAGAAATTCGATTAAATTTCATGATCCTGAAATCACGGAGTCTCTAGTGCTTATATTACAGGAGTTATCGTTATTTGTGTGCCAATGATTCAAATATCACACAATTAGAAATGCAAGATGAATCAACACTAGATAATCTGAAAAGTACTATTCACAAAGACGTCAAAATTGATATGGTGATTATAATGCATGTAAGGAATGGAATGTCTTATCTGAAATTGTTATTGGTGCCAAAATGATTCAAAAATCACAACTTAAACGTTGGAAATGAGCCTATTTTGAGCAGTGATTATTGAATCATCTTACGTTTTTATTGGCTTTCTATCATTTTTTAGGGTACAAAATAGTTTTAAATAGTATTAAAACCAGTTAATATGATTCAAAAATCACATTTTCGTTAAAGGTGCGCTAATAAGTCACACTATAGTAAGCCTTAAATTAAGTGCACGATATGACAATTTATATCCATTCTATGATTCTTATTATGTGATTTTTGAATCCATGTCTAAGCTTATACCATATTAAAGGCCTTTGAGCGATAATTTTTGGTCTCGGTGCTTAAATGATTCAAAAATCACACAAATCTGGCCACCAAATATGTAATTTCCTTTAAAGTGTGATAATTGAATCATACGTAATGTTCAAGTTGTAATGACATTTTGAAAGTAAAGGTAATGAATCGATAATCACATTTCAAAAATCCGATTAAGTATTATATGTAACTGATATGATTCATTTGTCACATTATGGCGACAAAATTATCATGGCTTGAGCTGTAAAAGTACTTGCCTAGTTTACTCAGTTTAAAATCAGTTTTTTGTGATTATTGATTCCACTATACTCTAATAACGAACTTCTCCATGACCATAAACAAGTGTCACAACAAATTACTGCAGATTTACTATGAATACCAACCTGATATAGAGCCAAAAAGTGATACATTCCCCTGATACAGCATAATTTCAATACATGCTCATTTATGTGATTTTTGACTCATTATGGCACTTTTAACCATCTAAATTCTCTAAATATTAGTTAGCATGATATAATTGTGATTGATAGAGTTCATTGTTACAATCGTTCCGTTGATATTCATATCACATTCATCATTCTAAAACACTTAGTCAGAATTAACCCTGTGTGTGATAATTGCATCGTAACGCCACATTTAACCGGTGATACTTTGCACTTTTAACACTCAACTATCTCAAAAAGGTTCAATAATCACATTGAGAAGCAGTACACACTCACAGAATGTAAATTCATCATTAGAGGTGCAAGAAATGAATATTTTGTGATTTCTGGCTCATATCTGCACAATTAACAGATATAAAGAGATGAATGACTTAATTATGTGATATTTGAATCTTTTTGGACCACATATTAAAATTTGGTTAACTTTCATAGCATACTCATTGAGATACAAGTATTTTAAAATGCTTCACACAATTTTGGCAGTGAAAAATCAATCTCTAGTGCCACCTTTTTATGAACGTGTCCAAATCACGCTTATTATATGACCTCAAGTTTCAAAGTATTAACGATGGTCGGTAACCCTACATTCACTACAATGATCGGTGGTTCGGAACTAACTTTTCGTTAAGCTCATCATTCTCACTCTCTAAAAATCTTCTTCTGATAAATCTAAATTTATTCATAATTTTGTATTGCCGAAGAATTGGCTGATGCCTGTAATTTTGAAATGATCAGAAGATTCAGAGCAACGATACACTGGCCGATAACTGAACTAATTTGTATCAGGTCCTATGAAGCGTCTGGACTATAAATAATTATTGTTAAATTAAAGTCGTTCAACTTCCAAAATCGCTATTTTCTTGATAAAATGATCTGTTTGTCTAAGTAATCAATGCGACTTCAGTTCATATCTTGAATCGACTTCTTGGATCTATGTCTTTTGAAAAATCATAAATACCTTTCAAACGATGATAGTTGATGTCAGAGAAGGGAACAGATTAGAGGGCCGATCCAAGAAATGAACCCAGAAAACAAAACAGATATTGGGATGAAAAGAGAGCCATTCTAAGAGAAGACATGGACAATCGTAGGAGGATGAAATGGAATCCTATCCCACAGTACCGTGAAGTGGATAATATTGGAGAGATTATTATTATTGTACTGTTTAGAAGTTGTGTATGGATTGAGAGGGCAAAACTAATGAGGGGGTCGCAGAATGTTGATATAATTATAGTGATGAGTTTAGTTTTTGTGTGTGTGTGTGACAAAGAAAACACAGACTGTTTTATTCAGTTATTTTCTTTGAATTTTGAGAGAACGATAAAATGAACAGAGCAAAGAGCATTTTAATAATTCAAAAATTCAATTCTTTGGAAAAGATCAAAATCAGGGAGGGGGGTCTTCATATTCAGGGGGCTGATTCCCCCCAAGACCCTTATTGTTTCCGTTAACATTTACACGTTCATTGTCATCATCATCATCTAGCTGATCTTCATATTCCTCTAACAATCTATTCTCTGACATTAAAGCCTCAGCTTCTTTACTAACTATTAAACTCTCTCTCTTCTCTCTCCTCTTCTTCAGACATTTACACGTTCATCGTCGTCATCGTCATCTAGTTGATCTTCATATTCCTCTAACAATTTCTTCTCTCTAACTAAACTCTCTCTCTTCTCTTTCTTCTTCTTCACGTGCTTGTGCAACAGAACACCGGATGTTACCGTCCCTGCTACAGCCCCAACAGCTAACACTGATTGAAGTGCAGTTCCTATGAAAGTGGTAGCTGCAATGCTCTGCATGATAGCAAACCAAGATCCAGCAGCCACGCTGCCAATACCAGATTGTATGGCAGCGGCTGCTGAGCCGGCAGCCACACCAGCTGATGTGAAACCCATTGCAAAGGGGACTGATGCTGCTCCTGCTGCCACTGCAGTTGTTCCGCCAGCTGCTGTTGCTCCAAGCAGTAATCTGATGGAGTAATTTTAAAATCAGGATTCAGATGATAATAAATTTACAAATCGCAAGGTAATATGGGGGGGGGGGGGGCCGGGGGCTAATTTTTATCACTGACCAAATAGAGGCAAGGGGAGAATATAACTTACTTCTCTTTAAGTTTTTCTTTCTTATTCTCACGATCAATTTGCTCAATATCGTCAGTTAGAGAGATAGATTTAGGATTGGGTGTTTCATCTGCCGGTTCAGATATTAAGCTGTGATCAGTCAAAACAATTTTCAAAGTTGCGACACCACTGAAGGAATATATTATATAATATTATGTTTTGTAGTAGTGGAACAGCAATACTAAGGTAATGGGACTTAGTATTGCTGTTCCACTACTACAGAAATAATCCTGATAACACTCGACCTCTGCCTGATCCAGAGGATATCACCATTTTACCTTCACACAGACATCGAACGCTGTAAGAAGATGACGATCAGACCTCATTAATATTATGTTTTATTTAATGATTTATTTATTGGTTAGTTAACACTTTAACAAATTGTAAGGAAACATATTTTTATAAATCAGCATTTAATAAATTATACGCCGTAATTTACTGGGCTTCTAACGCTCTAGCCTATATTGAGCAGGTCGTATAATCATCATCTAAGTAACCAAGTGCATAGTACAATGAGCTGAAATAAAATAACCTTAGATCAGTAAGTCTCTTAGCCTCAGTCTCGCTGATACACGTAGACTTTGTTGTATCAAAGAAGCGTCCTGATGAAACATGCAGCAAGATGACGTAAGGAATGTCATTAATTTCTATTTCAGCAACTCCGCTGAAAGGGGGTTATTTTTATTATGAAAACATTAAAAAAATAAATTCCATTTCATAGGGATACTCTTACTTCCTTTGGTTAAATAGATTTTTTAAACGGTTCAAGTACACCTATTCAACAAACAAAACAAAAAACAGCCGGCCACTTTTAAACTATTTTAGGAGTATTGAATTACCGTAATTCTGATGTATTTTCCTTCTTTCTAACCAGATTTACCTGGTGATAAGTTCTGACGTTATCTTCCGATCAAGAAACTTATTGTCCAAGGGATCATAGAAGTTTGTTGGTCCAGGACTTTTCCTACTGTAGATTATGATGCGTTTCTTCTTTCTATCTTTCTCCATGCCGGACTATATAATATTTTTACAGTTTTGACTCCCGATAGGTACAGGGTGGGCCAAAAGTCAGTACCCATACGTTGGGTCTTATACCTCCTCCGTGTTTTATATTTGAGAGTTTTTGCTTTGCAGATGGCATACTGTACCTACTTGTTCGAAGGTTCCGTCACCAAAATTTGAAAATTCGATTTTTGGGGGCCACACCCAATCAACATTGAATTGATTATACTAATGTTTTTAGGATGGTGTGTGACAGTAACGAGTCCGCATGGCAGTGAAAGCAGCCAGTAAGTTTATCGCCTCGACGAAGATCGCTGGATACCTTCTTTGTGCAACTTTTTCCATCATTGCTAGTACGACACTCAATTTTGGGACATGGAATGTTTGTGGTCTCTCCACCACTCACAAGCAACATCTTGTTGCAGAGGACATCGACAGATACGATTTAGATATTTTGGCCTTACAAGAAACCAAAACTCGTGAATTCTTGGAAACAACACTTCCCGGTCATCATAGACTGTTTCTGTTTGACCAGAAGCAGGGTAGACATGGGGGTCTTGGTTTTGTTGTTAACAAGCGTTTTATGGACAGTGTTTTATCGCATCATCAGATCAGTGACAGAGTCGTTTACATGGACGTTAAACTAAAACCCAATCGGGTAAACAAACCACCTTGTTATATCAGAATTATAAATTGTTACAGTCCTACTAATCCTAAATCAGTCCAGAACCCTCAACTAGCTGATCAATTTTATGGTGAGCTTCTTGAGGCTATCAGTGTTCCTGCTCGATTTGAAGTATGGATGTTAGGTGACTTCAATGCCAAGTTAGGCAAGCGTTCACTTGTTGATGAAGAAAATGGTTTACAGCAGCACATAGGTAGGCATGGTGTTGGTAGAAGGAACGAGAATGGAGAGAGATTGTTACATTTTCTGGCAGCAAATGGCTTATTTGCTACCAATACTTCATTCTCCCACAGCAGCAGGCATATAACTACACGCACTGGATGGATAAGAGACCAATCCACCCGAAAGAGTAAACCATACTTCTCACAGATAGACTATATACTTTGCAAGTCCAGGAGCAAAGCACTACTGACTGATGCAAGGTCATATGCGGGAACTAAGCACCGCAGTGACCACAAGCTTGTAGTTGCAAAAGCAGATTTTTCCCTGCGTTATAGTTTCTACAGGAAGAAGAGGACTACTCAGAAGGCATTCAACACAACCACTCTTGTAGGTAGCATTGCAGCGCAACAACAGTTTAAATCTGCACTTACTGTTAATATCAACCAACTTGTATCTGAACCTGACTATTCTTCTAATGATACTTGTCAACAGTTCGGAAAACTATTTAAAAGTATTGAGACTGCTGCCATCTCCACTGTGGGTCTACGCGAGCCACAGCGAAAGAGACACCACTCTTCTGATAGTGAAGTTGTTGAAATGTCAGAGGAAAGAAAACGATTGCTACAACTTCTGAATAATAATGAATACAGAGACAGAAAGGACTTGAGATCAAAAATTAACAAACTCTCAAATGACATTAAGAAGCGACTGAATACTCTCAGAATAGAAGTTGCAAACAGTCTTGCAGACTCTATCAATAATACAGACGACGGCCGTAAAATGTTTGAAGCTGTCCGGCAACTATCAGGTAACAAGAAATCAGACTCCATCTCTGTTTTTAATGACAAGAATCAACTGGTAGATAATGAGAGTGACAAAGCTGACATTATACGCAACTATTTTGAGCAACACTACACAGGACCAGACAGTGAACCTCCACTTGAGCCGTTTGTTGGCAGTCCTCAGCCACTAAACAATCCCATAACATCCTTTGAAGTGGAACAAGCTGCCAAAAAGCTAAGAAATGGTAAGGCTGTTGGTCCTGATGGTATACCAAACGAATTCCTTAAACACTCCCCACCTATTTTCTATTCTACATTTGCACAACTGACCAATCAATCTTTTGAACGTCATGAACATGTACCTTCATTCACTGAAGGATTCCTTACCCCACTGCAAAAACCTGGTAAGCCACGTGGACCTTTAAAAAGTTTGCGCCCTCTTTGTCTTTTAAACGGCACCAGGAAGATATTGTCCATGATAGTCCTTAGACGCATTCAAAGACAAGTTTCTCAGTACACTGGACCTTGGCAAAATGCCTACAAGCCTGGCCATAGCTGTGCAAATATTGTTTGGACACAACGGATCCTAGTTTCAGTTGTAAAGGAGAAACGCTGGTCTCTACACAAAATGGGTATTGATATGTCATCTGCATTCGACACCATTAAGAGATCAGTTTTGCTAGAACTTCTTGCTGATGCTGGTTGTAGTGAAGACGACATCCGACTGGTAAGGTACCTACTCTCATGTACCAAACTGAAGATTAAAGTGAGGTCTACCGTATCAGGGGAGTTCATTGTCACGATAGGTGCGTTCCAAGGTGATAGTTTGTCTGGAAACCTTTTCACCCTGTATTTGGCTGGCGCACTTTACCACCTTCGTGCCTTTATGTCTTATCTAAGACCCAACCCTCCGTTTGCTGAAAACCTGCTACCTCTTGAGTGGGAGTACGCAGACGACGCAGACTTCACAGACGTGGATAAAAAGAATTTGGAGTCCATGTTACCAATATGCAAGGAGATATTGGAGGAGTGGAATCTTTTTGTCAACGAATCAAAAACAGAGTTCACACATATCTATCTGGCCGAGAAGAACGAAGTTGATGACAAAGGAGAGCCACTTCGAGGAAGAGAGCCCTGGAGATCATCTATCTCACTTGGTTCCAAATTGTGCAGCAACGAGGACATAAAAAGACGATGTGTTCTGGCAAATCTTGCTTTCCAAACCTACAAGAAAGTTTGGGAACAAGGTAAACGCATACCTCTTAAGACCAGACTTAAGATCTACGAAGCCCAGGTGGTCTCCGTCTTAATGTATAATTGTAGCTGCTGGGCAGCTTCAAAGCAGCTACTGAGTAAACTGGATATTTGCCACAGAAAGCATCTGAGGCAAATCATCAGAATGACTTACCCTAATATAATCAAAAACGACACCCTTTACAAGAGATGTGAAGTGGTTCCACTCAGTGAGCGTGTTGCATGTGCACGATGGAGGATGCTCGGACATGTCCTTCGCAGTGATAACAACTCACCTGCACAGCTTGCATTACACTTTGCAGTAGAGAGTCAGAGTACTAAAAAGGGTAGAGTAGGTAGACACCAGTCGAACTTGCTTAAGACTATTAAATTTGATTTAGGTAGCAGGAACATTCCATTTGTAAATACAGACGATTTGTACAATTTAAGACTTTTAGCCTCTGATAGAGCGGGATGGAAGAAGTTGTTATAGCTTGTGTATCAGTTTTTCTTTTTTTCTGGCTACTTATCAGATCTTTAAGATGTTCATTTATGTTCTATTTTTGATTTGAATAAAGTTATATTTTAGCGGCCAGGTAGCGCCAGGGACAAAAGGATTTCGCGGCATGTACGAAACCGCGAAATTTCCCTTTTTCCGCGACAAATCGCGATTTTTTACGTTTACCGCGACAGACCGCGAAATTTCCCATTCTCCGCGACAAATCGCGATTTTTTCAGTTTTTCGCGAAAAATCGCGCATTTTCCTTTAAATCTGAAGACCAAATTTGTGCATTTTCTTTTAAATCTGAGGACCAAATTTGCGCATTTTCCTTAAAATCTGAGGACCAAGTTTGCGTATTTTCCATAAAATCTGCGGGCCAAATGTCACGTTTTCTACAAGTATATGAAACCAATCACATTTTCAGCCTTCCGTGAGTTCTGATTGTAGGTACATTCTCGATACATATTACATACCTCTGAAAGTGAAGGCGGAGCTCCCGCTTCCGAGCTCGTATTGCGAAAGGGAGGCCTGCCTTCCGAGATCGCATTACAAGGGGAGCCCTCGAGTCCAATATCGTGTATCGAAGGGTATGTGTGACCTTTGAAAGCCGAAAAAAATTTTTCGGCTCATAATGATCAGGGTAGCATGAAACATGAACAAAAGTAGTTTCCAGAAAAACTTTGAAAAAATTTTGACTTAGAAAATTTTCGGTCCGAGTCATTCTCGATACGTACCTCTGAAGGCGGAGCTCCCGCTTCCGAGCTCGTATTGCGAAGGGGAGGCCTGCCTTCTGAGATCGCATAACAAGGGGAGCCCTCGAGTCCAAAATCGTGTATCGAAGGCCAGGGTATGTGTGACCTTTGAAAACCGAAAAAATTTTTCGGCTCATAATGATCAGGGTAGCATGAAACATGAACAAAAGTAGTTTCCAGAAAAACTTTGAAAAATTTTGACTTAGAAAATGTTCGGTCCGAGTCATTCTCGATACGTACCTCTGAAGGCGGATCTCCCGCTTCCGAGCTCGTATTGCGAAGGGGAGGCCTGCCTTCCGAGATCGCATTACAAGGGGAGCCCTCGAGTCCAATATCGTGTATCGAAGGGTATGTGACCTTTGAAAAACGAAAAAAATTTTTTCGGCTCATAATGATCAGGGTAGCATGAAACATGAACAAAAGTAGTTTCCAGAAAAACTTTGAAAAATTTTGACTTAGAAAATTTTCGGTCCGAGTCATTCTCGATACGTACCTCTGAAGGCGGAGCTCCCGCTTCCGAGCTCGTATTGCGAAAGGGAGGCACGCCTTCCGAGATCGCATTACAAGGGGAGCCCTCGAGTCCAAAATCGTGTATCGAAGGGTATGTGTGACCTTTGAAAAACGAAAAAAATTTTTTCGGCTCATAATAATCAGGGTAGCATGAAACATGAACAAAAGTAGTTTCCAGAAAAACTTTGAAAAATTTTGACTTAGAAAATTTTCGGTCCGAGTCATTCTCGATACGTACCTCTGAAGGCGGAGCTCCCGCTTCCGAGCTCTTATTGCGAAGGGGAGGTCTGACTTCCGAGATCGTATATGGAAGTTGACCAGTAGACATATAAAACTTGACCAGACGACATAAAGTTGACCAGTAGACATATAAAACTTGACCAGACGACATAAAGTTGACCAAACGACATATAAAACTTGACCAAACGACATAAAGTTGACCAGACGACATAAAGTTGACCAGTAGACATACAAAACTTGACCAAACGACATAAAGTTGACCAGAAGACATACAATGGATTAAGAAATCGAACAGTAGGTTAAATCAGTGTTGTTATTGAATCGTCACTTGTCAGATATTTCGTCATCGATAACGTCATCGTTATTTGCTTGGTATTGTAATCGCTTGTTATAATGGACCGCTTTGTCAAACGGCCTGCCGACAAACCGGCTGGTCCTTCGTCTAGCAAACGCTCGAAACAGGCCAAACAGGGCAATGTAACAGCTCTCACGAGAGTGGCTGAATTTGGCAAATCATCATTTTATGCTGACAATGGGAAGCTATTTTGTAGAGCGTGCAACCTCGTCGTAGACCACACAAGAAAAAACACACTGACTCGGCATTTGGAATCGAAGGTAAATAACTTTATTTATCATTATTATCTTTCTACTATACAAAACGAAAGTTCATTTTTGTCTGTACGGCGCCACGTGCATTTAAGATTAGAAATAGGAAGTTGCATAGTATTTAGTAACCATAGTTACGTGGTTGAACCGCGCACCTGCACGTGCGCCGTGCAATGATAATTATAAGGCACTTTGATCAGATTTGTTTTTATTTCGTTGTGTTCAGTACACTTTAATCGGCTGTATCTTCGGTTGTGATAGGTATTTTTTGATTCAATAAAAACTGACTACCAAAGAGTACCATTACCTCCCTCCCTGTGACCACGGGCTTTCTAGTGTTATTATAATGCACCGATCTAGAACATCTTGTGCCTTTGTAAGCCTTTTAATAAATAGTTGACTATGTCATGCATCTTAATATATTTCTTGCCGCACTCTAAGTTAAACATTATTTTTATCAGAAACATACTGAGTGTGCAGAGCAGTCAAAGTCGAAGGTTGATAATAGAAACGAAAGACTCCAAACTCTAAACAAAGTTATTAACCACAAGACTGATGCTCAATACGCTAGGAAGTTGTTAGCTGTGGATCTTTCTGAAGCTCTCATAGCTGCTAATATTCCTATAGAGAAACTAGATCACCCTGCCCTTCGTCAGTTTTTAGAGAACAGAGTTCCGGGGGCTGGAGCTATTCCTACTGCTGCTGGTGTTCGTCAATGGTACCTGCCAACGGTAAGAATCTACAATCTGGTACAAATAAAGTTTTTTAATTGTTAGCCTTTATTAAAACCCGCGACGAATTGTATTGCTGTAAGATACCTTATTATTTTCGATCATAATTTAATTTTTGTATACCGTTCAAGATTCAAGAAGCACACGATGTAGAACTTAAGAAGATCATTGCTGGAGCAGATGGAGTCATCATCACCGTGGATGAAACATCTGACAATGTCACCGACAGATCAGTCCTAAACTTGGTCCTGACACCCATATCTGCCAGCGCTGCTACTGATAAAACTGCTTCATACATCGGCGACCAAATTTATGTGGACAAACTAGATCACAAGATCATTGCTGCCGAGGTGATGAAGGTCGTAGATAAGTTTGATATAAACCACAATGACGTTATTGCCTACGTGGCAGACAATGTGGCGTACATGTCGAAGGCGTTTACCCTTTTCTCTGGTAAGAAATTTAATATTATAATCATTTTAATAGTTTAAACTTTTATAGAAGGTCATGATTATTTGGTTATTATTAACTATAATTATTACTGTAAAATTTGTTTAAGACTTCCCTCATACATTGTTAACTGCCTAATAAAGCTTAATAATCTTTTCAGCATTCTTCGAAAACTGTATTCACGTGACGTGTACAGCGCATTTATTCCACCTTCTGTTCGAAAGAGTACAAATGTACAACGGAGAGGTGCACAAGTTTATGCAACTGTGGCAGTCGTATTTTAAGAACTCGGTAGCAAGGAGAAAACGATATATCCACTACATGGCTTCTAAAGAACTGTCAACAGCTAAGGTATGATGATCAGATAGTATTTTTATCGTTTTATTAGATTCAACTATGTATGTAATGGTATTTTTAAACTTTTTAAACCAACAAATCAACTAACATTTGATAGATAATTAGGTTTCTATAAATTCAAAATAAGAAAACTTGCATCCCTAGTTTAAATTATTTCTTATCTATTTTTGATTATTATCATGATATGTATCTAAAAACTAACCGTTTTTCAGTGCCCGAAGCCCTGCACCACTAGGTGGACTCCATGGCTGCGAGCGGTGCTATGGCACGAGGAGAGACATCGCCATTTGGACGAATTCTTAGCTGCTGAACACACTCAGTCTGATTCTGTTTCTTCTAGAGAACTCCAGGACCTTATGGCCGACGGAACATTGGAAAGGGATTTCCAGTACCTTGGATCAGTAGTACCAACCTTGATTGAGGCTATTGAATGCCAGGAGACGACTAGCGTCAGTAATCACCACCTCATAGAAAAACTGTCAGATTTGAAGGCTTTTATGAAGACAGAGCAGAAGTCAAGAACCCACAAGGAGTGGAAGACTATGTGGACAGACATTCTGAGCAAATACGAGGAGTATTTCGAGTGGACTGGTCAGCCTCCGACATACTCTCAGAAAGGACTCAACTTCTTTAGAAGAACCCGCCTTCTGGACCCGAAACAGGCTGCAGAGTTGGAACCTACCATAAGTGAGCTGCAGATGATTCCTCTTCTAAAATCCTGCCCTGTAAGCCAGATACAATCATACATTGATGAAGTAGGATCAGTAACTCCTTCTAGTACACCGTGCTACTGGCAAAACAGACTGGTTAGGTGGCCAGTACTAGCCAAAGCGGCTATCCTTTCTATCTCAATACCTAGCCACTCTGCTGAGGTGGAACGTAGCTTTTCAGCTTACTCCAGAGTGATGACTAAGCTCAGGACAAACATGTCGGACTCTACTCTGAGAACATGTAATATGCTACACTTTAATTGTATTATATGAACAATCTGTAATCTGTTATCTGTATGAAGTTGTTGTTTATATGAACGTGGAATATGGAACGTAGCTTTTCAGCTTACTCCAGAGTGATGACTAAGCTCAGGACAAACTCTGAGAACATGTAATATGCTACACTTTAATTGTATTATATGAACAATCTGTTATCTGTATGAAGTTGTTGTTTATATGATAAATTGTTTAATAGTATAATATAAAATTTACGTAGTAGCTGTTTATATGGTAAATTGCTCAAAGATATAATGTAAAAGTTACGTAATCAACAATATCTTTATATTTTAATCATAACTAAGATGAGTTGTTTCAGTGAGTTGAGTTGACCGTGGCTTCTGGTTCTGCTTCTGGTTCTGTAGCTGCAAGCATTCCGGTTTCAGAGGCAATTTTTCGGTGTCTTTTTCTAATCCTAGAGTGTTGTATGCGAAATGTGTTGTCGACAATTACTCCAAGCTCTGTTGCCAGAGCTCTAACAGGTTTCGTGATATCGGCGGAGTAAGTGACGTGCAGCCGATGTCTTTTCCTATGTTTCTCTAGACTGTTAGGGCTTCTGTCCGGATGGTTGTGGGGCCCGTTGTAACTTAGAAGAAGACTTCTGTTCTTGTCTGTGGTAATGGTAGCAGGACAATTTCCATTCCTCGCGTGGTATTGGCTACATCTGTAACTGATGTTGTTTTTCAGCTCCGATCGTTGCTGAAACAGGTTGTCTTCGTGAACAACCATGGGCTTACCACGGGATGTGGTTAAAACTTCAAGAAGGTTCGTGCAAGGGACTGGGGAAAGGATGTCGTCAAGGTTTATATAAGCTTCGAGGGGTAGAGGTTCGATGCTAGGTAGGGATAGAGGAATAGGATTGAGAAGGTCGTAGTATTCCATTGCTATCGTTGTGAATTGCAGATGGTCGAATGATGATGTCTCCTGTCGTCTGTTGAAAGTTATATAGTATCGATAACGAGATTCGTCATACAGTACGTATGACATTGCAACATTTGAGATCATGTCAAAGTTATGGTAGCTCTCGTAACTCGTTGTTATGGACCCCCATCAGCCTGTATCAGATCATATGATGAGATCACATCCTCATGGGACATGAGCCGATCAAATAGAATAGTCAAAGAATATGTGAACTCTAACTAAGCACTGTAAATACATTATTTTTTGCCGCGAATTCGCCGCGATATTTCGATTTTTCGCCGCGAATTCGCCGCGATTTTTCGATTTTTTGCCGCGAATATGCCGCGATTTTCGGAATTCCCGCCGCGAAATAGCCGCGAATTAGCCTAGTTTGGCTTGTCGCGGTGCCGCGATTTTTGGCCAAAATTACCGCGAAATCCTTTTGTCCCTGGGTAGCGCAGTTGGTTAGAACGCCTGTCTTACAATCGTTAGGTTGCGAGTTCGAAACCCACTGACTGCCTGGTCGTGGGGTGAGCGTCGTCGACGTTCAGCTAAGGATCATGAGTGGTCTATGCAGCCCCCCGGTCTACTCAGCCGAATACTCGAGAAATCGGGTGTGAGGGTTAAATGAGGAGCTGCACATTGCAGCAAAGTCTCGGACGAAGAAAGTATGGTACACACTACCTTAACCGTCACTGGCCAAAAAGATCCTTCGGCTTCCTGTAATTGGCTGGTTGCACTTGTGTAACATTGTGGCTGTTGGAATACACCGAAGTAAAATAAGTGTCTAGATTAAAAAAAATATAATAATGTTTGTGAATATGTTAGAGACTCCGTTGTAACATATTGCAATAGGTCATTTAATCCGGAATATGATCTGAAAAGATGGTGCGAAACGGATTTAAAATGACGAAGTTATCAAGCAATTTGTTAGCAAAATTGATTGGGTACTCAATGATTGCCCAATTACGGCACCGTAATTGTGCTCTCTGCACGATTCCCATAATGTGGATCTAGCCTCAACCCAATTACCTGATCACATGTAATGAACAAATTTGTTATGCTTCATATCTCGGTCATCTGAGAAGCTGTAACTCTCAGTTTTTCAGGACAAACGTAATTTAAATGACCAAACACCATTCAATAATATTTGGCTCGATCCGACTATCCGAACCATCAAATAAATGCAAAAATGAACCGTTGAAAATGAACAACAACAAAGATTTGCAAATAGAAACATTCGAACGAATACAATCAATGATGAAAAATTATACAAAAGTTAACATATTAGTCTAAAAGTATCAACCGGGTTGGGTCATAATCTAAAAACACAACAATACCATCTCTGCAAACAAAGATTTATAAAAACATATTAGGTACGTATCGAAAATGACTCGGACCGAACATTTTCTAAGTCAACATTTTTCAAAGTTTTTCTGAAAACCGCTTTTCTCCACGTTTCATGCTACTCTGTTCATTATTTGCCGAAAATATTTTTTCGGTTTTTCGAAGTCCACACCTTCCCTCGATACACAATTTTGGACTCGAAGTAATGCGATCTCGGAAGGCAGGCCTCCCCTTTGCAACACGAGCTCGGAATCGGGAGCTCTCGATACGGGAGGTACGTATCGAAAATGACTCGGACCGAACATTTTCTAAGTCAACATTTTTCAAAGTTTTTCTGAAAACCACTTTTCTCCATGTTTCATGATACTCTGTTCATTATTGGCCGAAAATATCTTTTTTTTAAATAATTTTTCTCGAAATTCTAAATTTTTCAGGTTTTCAATGGCATAAAATGGCATAAAATGGCATAAAATGGAGACTATTTCTATGGAGAAAATGGAAAAACCTATGAGTAATTCTCCATTTTCTCCATTTATGCCATTGGCCCCCCCCCCCCCCCCCCCCGACATATTTAAACCCATCTATCTCGTTCTCCAAAATCCACGTTTTTCTGCAAAATCGTCCATTCGTAACCTTTCACTATTGCCTTTTTTCAAAAGGGTGAAAAGGAAAAAATCTTCTTCTGATAAATCTAAATTATTTTGTATCATGCCGAAGAACTGGCTGATGCCTGTAATTTGAAGTGATCAGAAAATTCAGAGCAACGATACACTGCACTGGCCGATAACTGAACTAATGTGTATCAGGTCCTATGAAGCGTCTGGACTTTAAATGATTATTGTTAAATTAAAGTCGTTCAACTTCCAAAATCGCCTAGAAAAATTTAGTGATTGAAGCGGAACAGTTGAAAACAAATAGCATATCAGAAAACGGGAAGTTATAGAGAATACGATTTAAAGTGATATGACTAAACCAAATGCTTTAAATCATGCGTGGAGCGAACTGTAATCTCGATTTAGTCACCTTTCTTACAGACAGGCACCATATAATTATGATATTGTATAATTAAGTGAACCAATCACGTTAATAATTATATATTAAAAAGGAAAAATATTAACATATTCTATTTTCTTGATAAAATTATCTGTTTGTCTTAGTAATCAATGCGACTTCAGTTTATATCTTGGATTGACTTCTTGGATCTATGTATCTTTTGAAAAATCGTAAATACCTTTCAAACGATGATAGTTGAAGTCAGAGAAGGGAACAGATTAGAGGGCCGATCCAAGAAATGAACCCAGAAAACAAAACAGATATAGGGATGAAAAGAGAGCCATTTTAAGAGAAGACATGGACAATTGCAATCGTAGGAGGGTGAAATGGAATCCTATCCCACAGGACCGTGAAGTGGATAATATTGGAGAGATTATTATTATTGTACTGTTTAGAGGTTGTGTATGGATTGAGAGGGCAACACTAATGAGGGAGTCGCAAAATGTTGATATAATTATAGTGATGAGTTTAGTTTTTGTGTGTCTGACAAAGAAAACGCAGACTGTTTTATTCAGTTATTTTCTTTGACATTAATTGAGAAAACGATAAAATGAACAGAGCAAAGAGCAATATTCACATTTTAATATTTCAAAAACGAAACAGTACTAAGAAATTAACATTTTTATCAATGACTTCGCAGACTTCGAATAGCTAAGAAACAATCAATATCCCCATCAATGTTCTTGTTGCATACAGGAGCATTAACAATCATTGCAACGGAAAACTAAATTTTAAAACAACGATTTAATAATCGAGCCGTAATTTTTCAAATAAGCTTTAGAAAATGTTGAACATACATAAAATCGAATATTAAAATCATTTAAAATCATTTTATATTAAATTAAAATGTACCATTAAAACTTATAAATATGAATTGAATCAGTAATCGAAAATATATGCTAAGCTCGTAGACTTATGCTTCATTTTGCTGCCTTTTCTAATTTTGCTGCCTTTTCAAGCAACTCTTTTTTAAGCTTGACCTACTTACTCAAAATTGAAACCATGATTAGTTAGCATATTGATACAATACTACACATCATTACATTTCTAACAATTATAAAAATAAACAACCATAAGATGGGTCATGCACTAAGTCTTCAGAATTGTAAACACAACACTTATCTAGCTATCCATAGTCCAGAATCCATTAAACATTGATTGAAAGGTTAGCCAAGGTGTGTACAGGGTTCTCAGTCAGGGAGTGTGGGAAGGGGGTCTTCATATTCAGGGGGTGTAGGGAGGGGGGTCTTCATATTCAGGGGGTGTAGGGAGGGGGGTCTTCATATTCAGGGGGTGTAGGGAGGGGGGTCTTCATATTCAGGGGGTGTAGGGAAGGGGGTCTTCATATTCAGGGGGTGTAGGGAGGGGGGTCTTCATATTCAGGGGGTGTAGGGAGGGGGTCTTCATATTCAGAGGGTGTATGGAGGGGGGTCTTCATATTCAGGGGGTGTAGGGAGGGGGTCTTCATATTCAGGGGGTGTAGGGAGGGGAGTCTTCATATTCAGGGGGTGTAGGGAGGGGGGTCTTCATATTCAGGGGGTGTAGGGAGGGGGGTCTTCATATTCAGGGGGTGTAGGGAGGGGGGTCTTCATATTCAGGGGGTGTAGGGAGGGGGGTCTTCATATTCAGGGGGCTGATTCCCCCCAAGACCCTTATTGTTCCCGTTAACATTTACACGTTCATCGTCGTCATCTACATCTAGTTGATCTTCATATTCCTCTAACAATCTCTTCTCTGACATTAAAGCCTCAGCTTCTTTACTAACTATTAAACTCTCTCTCTTCTCTTTCTTCTTCTTCAGGTGCTTGTGCAACAGAACACCGGATGTTACCGTCCCTGCTACAGCCCCAACAGCTATCACTACTGGAAGTGCAGTTCCTATTAACGTGGTGGCTGCAATGCTCTGCATGATAGCAAACCCAGATCCAGCAGCCACGCTGCCAATACCAGATTGTATGGCAGCGGCTGCTGAGCCGGCAGCCACACCAGCTGATGTGAATCCCATTGCAAAGGGGACTGATGCTGCTCCTGCTGCCACTGCAGTTGTTCCGCCGGCTGCTGTTGCTCCAAGCAGTAATCTGATGGAGTAATTTTAAAATCAGGATTCAGATGATAATAAATTTACAAATCGCAAGGTAATATGGGGGGGGGGGGGGGCCGGGGGCTAATTTTTATCATTGACCAAATAGAGGCAAGGGGAGAATATAACTTACTTCTCTTTACGTTTTTCTTTCTTATTCTCACGATCAATTTGCTCAATATCGTCAGTTAGAGAGATAGATTTAGGATTGGGTGTTTCATCTGCCGGTTCAGATACGAAGCTGTGATCAGTCAAAACAATTTTCAGAGTTGCGACACCACTGAAGGAATATATTTTATATTATATTTCATTTACTTATTTATTTATTGGTTAGTTAACAAATTGTAAGGAAACATATTTTCATAAACCAGCATTTAATAAATTATACGCCGTAATTTACTGGGCTTCTAATGCTCTAGCCTATATTGAGCAGGTCGTACAATCATCATCTAAGAAACCCAGTGCATAGTACAATGAGTTGAAATAAACTAACCTATCAGTAAGTCTCTTAGCCTCAGTCTCGCTGATACACGTAGACTTTGTTGTATCAAAGAAGCGTCCTGATGAAACATGCAGCAAGATGACGTAAGGAATGTCATTAATTTCTATTTCAGCAACTCCGCTGAAAGGAGGATATTTTGATTTTGAAAACATTAAACAAATACAAATTCCATTTCATAGGGAAACTCTTACTTCCTTTGGTTAAATAGATTTTTAACTTTTTAAAACGGTTCAAGTACATTGTACATTGTACAACACCTATTCAACAAACAAAACAAAAAACAGCCGGCCACTTTAAAACTATTTTAGGAGTATTGAATTACCGTAATTCTGATGTATTTTCCTTGTTTCTAACCAGATTTACCTGGTGATTAGCTCTGACGTTATCTTCCGATCAAGAAACCTATTGTCCAAGGGATCATAGAAGTTTGTTGGTCCAGGACTTTTCCCACTGTAGATTATGATGCGTTTCTTCTTTCTATCTTTCTCCATGCCGGACTATATAATATTTTTACAGTTTTGACTCCCCATTATAGGTAGTTTGATGAAAATACAAGTATAATAGCGCGAAGCAAGCATTTGCATTTATTAGATCAACCATTGTATTGATGAGAAACCAAAAAGATATAAAATTTAAAAACAAAAACCCTTAAATCGGTTGTTCCACAACCATCTTTATACGGGTATTTGCCTCACAGAATGGCCAAAAAAAAGGAAGGTCTCTCAAAGTCACAAAACACACTTTATTCCAGTTTTTATCTCATAAGAAGCTAAGTTGACACTCATATTTTTCTTCCCGGGGGTTCATTTAATCTCATAACCATTTTTTCTTTGAGAAAAATTGGCCGGAAAATCTTCCTCGAAAAAAACATGCCTCACAGAATGGCCAAATCTGAATTTCTATAATTTTGTTGATGGAGATACTTTTTAAATTTCTATCACCACACGTTCTTAGAAAACCTATTAAGGAATGGGGTAATAACCTAAAACTCACGAAAAAACTGAGCTGTGAAAAATTATTTCACAAAAAAGAAAAAATGCCTGACAAAATGGCAAAAAAAAAAAGAAAACGAGAAAATTTTATTTTTCTAAAACCTTTGGCTCTTGTTTCAGGCATGCTGCTGGTATTAATATGCCTTGTTAACACCCCCATATAGGTGAAATTTCTTAGAACTGAATAAAAAGGGCATAATTTCCTACACCAAAATGGCCATTTTGTGTGGCGTTGTTCATATTCCCTGATTTCATGATTTATAACCTTCATTCGGCTGTAAAAACACTCCATCTGGGGTGTTATTGTATAATAAATAGCTTGTGAATACTTTAGACTTATGGTTTCATTGAATAAAAGGAGTTTTAAATTTTGGCCATTTTGTGAGGCATATTTTGGCCATTTTGTGAGGCGTTTAGCCATTTTAACATTTTGTTTCTTCCTAAATTGAACAATGTTCGTTTTGTTTGATGAATACTATTCTTTAAACATCTTCTGTCATACTGGTGCCAGAAGTTCTCACCAAAATGCAAACTTAGTTCAAAAATTTGAAAACAAATTTTGTGAGGCATATTTTGGCCATTTTGTGAGGCGTGTAGCCATTTTAGCATTTTTTTCTTCCTATATTGAACAATGTTCGTTTTTTTTGATGAATACTATTCTTTGAACATCTTCTGTCATACTGGTGCCAGAAGTTCTCACCAAAATGTAAACTTAGTTCAAAAATTTGAAAACAAATTTTTCAGTGCTCAAAATTTCTACATAAACAGTCATATTTATGCCAGAAAATGTGGTCCTAGTTAATGATTTCACCACAGGAAGTGTTGCCAGAAGACTTTTGTTTCATATGGTATCCACAAAACCTACCAGTCTTTTATAAAAAATTAGTTACAAAAACATTTACAAATTTGGCCATTCTGTGAGGCTAGCCATTCTGTGAGGTATTTACCCGTACCATGCAAATTTAGTTTATCTGGTTAAGAGTTCAAGTAACTACCGAAATAACTATTAAACTTATTTTAAGATCGGTACATATTTTGCATGTAAATTTTACTTATCAAGAAAAAAAATGTTTAAACTATTGAAGTGTTAAATACGCTTTTTGGCACAATCCTTGAATTCTAAAAGAATTGAACTCTTAAGGATTTTTGATCTTCGAACTTAAAATGAATAACAACAAAGATTTGCAAAAGAAACATTCGAACGAATACAATCAATGATGAAAAATTATACAAAAGTTAACATATTAGTCTAAAAGTATCAACCGGGTTGGGTCATAATCTGAAAATACAACAATACCATCTCTGCAAACAAAGAGTTATAAAAACATATTTAACAATTATAATCATAGCATCCAATTTTATATCAAATCTAACCGTTCCCTTATTAGGTATTTTAATATCTTTTTATTTCATAAAAAATGCGCGCTTGATCAACGAAGTATTAAGTCACTGGATTTCCTTGGAGAATCGAGTATAAAATCTCTCAACGTTTAGTATTCAAAGCTCAAACCTAGTGCCAGGTCTAGCAGTCCACCGTTTGATAGCGTCCACCTCCTGTTTTCTAGCCATAAGAACACTCTCCGGATCAGCAGGGTTTGAGGACCGGAGGTCCAGGTGATGTGCTCCGTCCTCTATCAGGATGTTGGGACAGTCTGCCAGACAGAACTTCTCCTCAATAATCACAGTTCCTCCAGCAGCCCAGGGGTCCAACCTCCCATTGGAGAAGAAGATTTTGGAGTAACCGGAAAAGTCAAACCCGTCCATTCCACCGAAGAAGTATTTGAGCCAGAAAGGTCGAGCGGTGGTGTTCCACTGTTGCTCGCAGGACGAAACGTACGATTCCAGATCAAACTTGTCGTCAGGGAACATATCCACGGACTTGTCACTGGAGATGGGAAGGATCATCTCCATACAAGCCTGATAATCCCACCCAGTCATTCCTAGATCACCAGCAGGGTCCGAGTCCAAATCTAGACACTCCAACTTGCCTGTGTAGTTGGAGTACATCTGAGCTCCTGTGGCTATAGCAGTCACCACATCTTCTGAAGTGTTGGTTCTTCTGCAGAACTCTTTCACCGGCCAGGCAGGGAGGTCTGCTAGAAAACTGGTAGGATAAGGGTAGTTCACCATGGCCATGTCAAAGTACATTCCATTCAGCCAGTTGCTGAGTGATATGACTCCATCACGGTCCAGAGGCTTACAAGTGCGGAAGAGGTTAGTGAGCTGCTTCAAACCAGCAGTTGTCTTGCCCATCTCAGTGATAACATCCCAGGACTGTGTGACCTTTGCAGGGCAGTCAGGTTGAGCATCACGGAACACCTGTGTGATGATACGGTACGGTCCTGTAAAGTCCTTTAACATTCCCGGGAACATCCAGACTGGAGCAGATGCAGCGATAGCTCCTTGGACCAGACTTGGATACTTGGCTCTCATCCAGGCAGCCAGCATACCTCCGTACGATCCACCAAATGTTATGGCAGGTGTGTCAGTCTTGTTGAGATAGCTTTCTTTTAACCAGACGATGTTATCAGCAAAGTCAGCCATGGCTTGTTCAACTGTAAGATATCTGGACTTAGTCCAGTCACTGAAGGACTCGTTTAAGCTTCCATAAGGCATGGATACCCCGTAGTACCTATGTTCTGCGAAGACGACTGCAGCGTCGAAAGCAGGAGCAATGTCAAACACAAAGCCGGTGTTTTGTGCGAAAAGCTCAATTGCACCCTCGTTACCAGTGTAGAAGAACAGAGCACCACCAGGCTTCCAGTGGTCCAGGTTTACTAGAATCTTCTGAGAGAAGTGCCTCTCGTTGGAGGCTTGGTCAAAGGCGAAGTGGTCAACTCTTTGTTTCACGAAAATGGTTTTCCAGCTGTTTTCTTGTGGAATATCATTGCGGAGTAAGCTACCCATAAGTCTCTGGGTAAGAGCCATCTGGAGAAGAACAAGAAGGAGTACTAGTAGTTTTGTCATAGCTTCCTGTAACACGAATTGAAATATCAGGATAATCTGTTAGATTGTTAGAAAAACATCTCAAGAATTTTCCAGATCACTGCGCCGGTCAGCATTGTCAAAAGCGATAATCATTTTAAGGACTGATAAACAAGGGACAATTATGAAGTTTGAACCACAATTTATTCAAGGATAAATAGCAAAGCTAAAGGCAATGTCAGTTGAAGATTAAAAATATGAAATTAATAATTTAGTCAATATAAATATTTCAATTTTGTATTCAGAAATAGATAATTTGCCTCTAAACTGTAAAGCGTTTCAAGATAATGAAGCAAAATGTCGCAGGCAACCAAATTAAGTGGCAATGTTGCACACAACTGTATACAGTAGCAGCTTAATCAGGGGCTGAGCAATACGCACAATTCAACCTACTCAATGAACAATTCTCTAGGGCTACAAAATATACTCAATAAACTTCAGGTTATCAACTTCGTCACTGGGTCACAGCATGGTTAAGGTAATAGTGTAGAGATATCAGACTTCCATATCAAATATAACCTCTCATATTTAAAAGAGTCATCAAAATATCATACCATGTAACAAAGCTGACAATTAAAAAACATACACACTAAAAATTTTATTTTCACGTAGCAAGTACGTTGAAAAAATGATAGATCTCCTCCTTGTCGTAAACCCCCACTTTCGTCTGACAAGCGTTGCATTTCACAGGATTATACAACTCTCCTTCCCCCTCCTCCACCTCCTCCTGTTTCTCCTTCCCTCGCCTCCTCTTCTTCTTCTCCTTTATCTTGTAAGTGAGAGTCTCCCCCGACACTACCAGACAATTGAAGACAAACATAGCTCTGAACTGGTTGTCGTAGTTGTCGTGTTGTTGACAGTCCCTACAGAGGATGGTCATGCACGAGGGACAGGAGAGAGTGGCCGAGGTGGCTGGCTTGGGGTCTGAGGTCTCTCCTTTCTTGTCTGATCCTGCAGTCAAGAAATGCAAATGTTGGGCATTAAATTTGTTTTAAGAAAATAAAACTTACTTTTACGCCAAAATCGCTAGAAAAAATAAGTTCTTGATATGAAAAAAGAGCCAATAGGTTATATAAAATGCACTATAATAAGATTCTTGAATGACATTATTAATCAATAATGTAGAGGTAAATGAAACCTGGACGGAGATAGTTCTTTCTCTTTTTCTGAACCCACTTCTCGTCCTTCTCATCTAGACCTGGATCATAAAACAGCTCCTCGTTCGTCTTTACTTTTTTGTCAACCTTTCGCGTGTTGCCGCTTTCATCCTCGTCACTGTAATACGGTCAGTTTATGACGTCATCACTGTAATACGGTCATTTTATGACGTCATCACTGTAATACGGTCAGTTTATGACGTCATTACTTACATTTAACGATCGTTAAGGGGGGGGGGGGGGGGGGGTTCACCCTGATTTTTTTGTGAAACTTAGTTTCGAGATAGCAGTTGACCAACAAACTAGGACCGGTGACCAAACTTTTGAGGGGGTCCCCGACCCCAACCGCCAAACGGTGCCCGCGGGGCAGCCACGCCCATATTTGGTTCAAATTAGGCCCAATTTAGCCAAATACCCTGAACATGCCCTTAACCCAGATTTTATGTGCTCTACTTGTAGCTAGTGGTCCCCTGAACAAGTATATGAATTTTCATCAAGATTGGGCAAAAAATGACTGAGTTATGAGCCAAAAACCATATGACCATATTTGGGCATACGCACCAAATTTGATCGATTTTGGCCCATAAATTGGTCAAATATCAATATTTTTGAATGAAACCAACTTTATATGAAAGGTAAGCTTATACTACACATTCTCTATGATTATCACTTATCAGCTCAGTATCTACCTAACTGTGGATTCTGTGTTCAAATAATCACAAAAAATGAATTAAATCGTCCATATCTCAGTTCGCGATATTTGCGAAACTGACTTCGCTCAAAACAATAGAACTCAATAGGGTTTCAATATTTTTACATGAAATTTTCAGAATCAACGTAGAATCGCATTTCGACCTTATCTCTTGTATTGAAATTTTGAGTTAGGCCTTTTAAAAAATTTGGCGGCCAAATTCTGAAAAATGCCTGGCAAATTTTGGAATTTGGCCGCCAAATTTTTTTAAAGGCCTAACTCAAAATTTCAATACAAGAGATAAGGTCGAAATGCGATTCTACGTTGATTCTGACAATTTCATGTAAAAATATTGAAACCCTATTGAGTTCTATTGTTTTGAGCGAAATCAGTTTTGCAAATATCGCGAACTGAGATATGGACGATTTTGTTCATTTTTTGTGATTATTTGAACACAGAATCCACAGTTAGGTAGATACTGAGCTGATAATCATAGAGAATGTGTAGTATAAGCTTACCTTTCATATAAAGTTGGTTTCATTCAAAAATATTGATATTTGACCAATTTATGGGCCAAAATCGATCAAATTTGGTACGTATGCCCAAATATGGTCATATGGTTTTTGGCTCATAACTCAGTCATTTTTTGCCCAATCTTGATGAAAATTCATATACTTGTTCAGGGGACCACTAGCTACAAGTAGAGCACATGACATCTGGGTTTTGGGCATGTTCAGGGTATTTGGCTAAATTGGGCCTAATTTGAACCAAATATGGGCGTGGCTGCCCCGCGGGCACCGTTTGGCGGTTAAGGTCGGGGACCCCCTCAAAAGTTTGGTCACCGGTCCTAGTTTGTTGGTCAACTGCTATCTCGAAACCAAGTTTTACAGAAAAATTAGGGTGAACCCCCCCCCCCCCCCCTTAAGGCATGATTTTTTTAAATGTTTGATAAAATATGATACTATTTAAAAATGTAATTATATGGAAGAAAACCTTGAGTTGAAATAGACATCATCGTAAAACTTCTCTGCCTTCGGCGCTTTTTCTTTTTTCTTTTCCTGAAAATTTCATCATTAAAATTGCAACCTTTTGTTTGAAGTCTTTAACAGCAACACACTTGATACTGGATTCTTATAAAACCCAGTATCCTTACACATCATCTAACCAAACACATAACTCTAACTGATATAACTCAGCAACACTGCACTTACAGGTAACGAAATACTCATAGACTGCCTTATTTCCGCATCCATCTCCTTCTCAAAGTCATCCTCTTCACTAGCCTCCTCCAACATTCCGTTTCCTCCCAGGAGAGGGTCCTCTATCTCCTCCTCCTCACTTGACATGGCTCCGTAATCGTCACTATCCTCCTCAACCAGGTAGTCTGGAGCTCCTTTTAACGTCATATCTACAGCTAGAAAGTGTTATGTGAGGAGCTGAGTGCTGAAAATGCAAATTAGAAACAATCCAGTGCAGTTCCATTTTCTCCAGAATACTCTAAACCCTCACTATAAAGGTTTATTAAAGCTAAATAAGTGACACATTGACTCTCTACAAAAGGTCAAACGATGTCATTGTTATCTCCAATACAGATTCAATATTTTGGGGACACTTTCCGAAACAATGTATCTGCAAATATATTGAAAATACGTCCTTGATGAACTGTAATGATATTCAGTTGTAAATGAAATTTCGTCAATATTAAAATTTTACTGCTATCGTACAATAAACTTACAAATTTTTACAAAATAATCCGAAAAACAAAGAGTACAAATCACTAAAACTGATAAACTTAAAAATAATTGAAGTTTTTATATGCTTACTTGATAATATCATAATCTGATAATGACATCACTAAATTTACCGTCCTAAAAAGTTTCTGAAATGGATTCATGAAATGCTCTCCACGCTTTAGTTCTTCAATTTGTTAAACTTTTCAACCATGGGCCCAATCCCCTGAGGTACACTACCAAAGCACACCAAATAAGCGGTTATCCCAGCATTCCTGTATTTTACAGCCGCCCTGTAAATAGCATCAGCTATCCAGTGCATGGAGTTCTGGAATACCCCACCCCCGATGAACGTGAGAAAAACTTTTTTGGTGGGATTTAGAGCAGCTACTGCGAAGAGGCCGTCATATGAGGCGTCCAGTATTCCCTTAGCCAGGCGCTCCCATTTGTGTCTATTGATGTTGCGGCTGTATCCCACGGCAGCAGCACTTGCGAACACCTAAACGTTACAATTTATTAGTCATACCACTTGCCTGTTAAGGAGTGGTTATGCATGATATAATAACTGTCATTAACATGACAAAACCCAAGCTTTGCATAAATAGCTTACATTCATATAATATATTATTATATAATCTGTTTAAATTGAACCTGAGTCAAGCGCAGTTGAGGTGAGCTGGACAGCACTTGGCCCCAGTCTTCAGCTGTTACCTCAACGTCGTAGTGAACTCCTAACTTCAGCTTGCTCCACAGATTCTGATATACCATCTCTTCTGAGTCCCAGCCTTTCTCCTCTTTTAACTCACCAAGTCTGATAATAAAAACAGATTCAAAATATGGAAAAATAAGTCAGACGGATAAACAAGAAGAAAAACAGAGGCCAACTTAAAATCTCGTAGTTATCAAATTTCTTAGAAAGAATGTGGTCAAGATCTTCCCATTTCAAACTTACCGTTTTAAAAATCTATCCAATTGTTTCTCGTCAGCCGTTAAATATCCGTTCTTCTCTTGGAACAGCTGGTTATCCTTGTTCTCCAAGATCTCAGCCACGTCCTCGAATCCGTCCAGCTGTCTGCCAGCTGTTTGACCTTGCTGAGGTTCTGTCTCACCAGCTCTCTCTGTTACTGGCATGTCTACAAAATAGTTCCTGGTAGGAGTGAAAACTGAAGGGTATAACTTAACAGAACATACATGATCAGAAAACAGCTCTCTGATTGGTTACCTTGAATCACGTGACCAGGTCCAACCTAAGCAGAGTGAAAACTGATGAGATGCTCACAGTATCAGCTCAGAGAGTCAGAGTAGCAATAACGCCCTACTCCGTACTTAGCTGAATTTTCAAGTCACTCATACTCCACATTTAACAATAATGAAATTAGACCGACCGAAAATGAAAAGGTTGCATTAATTGATGTGGTGGGAAGTGTAATACCTGTAAACAGTGCCAGGCCCACATGCAATGCTACAAGCTGGTCCCTGGGTGTGATCATACTCGTATCTGTCGACTCCCGCTTCAGGTGTTATGGCGGGGTTTATGAACTCCAGGCAGTTGAATTGCGATGCTACCTGGGCAGATATTATGGTTCAGAACAAAACATGCCTCGGCCCTCGGCCTCGGATGAGTAGTGAAAAATATTGATTAAATTGGTTTGAAGTTTTTTTAACCTTGTGAAAGTTATCTAGCGTAAACATTTATTACTGGTGAATACCAGTTTTACGAACTTCGCGTTTTAGACACCAGTACCGACTGGGGGTCGAAAATTGGGGGTCTAAAATCACAAATTTACAGCAAAGTTTCAATTCCCTAATACAAATCTAAAGACAAATGTAGCACATACTAAAGTACCTGGAATACAGCACCGTTGTTTTCAGGCTTATTGATGAAAGACACCACATCTCCTTTCAGTATTTGTAGTTTAGTAAGAAATCCGCTTGGTTCCCCACCAGCCGACCTCTCTGAAATATTAGTACCGTGTTTTTCGTTCTGTATAACTATTCGACATAATTTATAATACTATACGTCATGATCATGGTTATTGGAAAATATTACGTAAATTGTCATTATATCGACCAGTGGCGTAACGTTGCCTGTTGGCGCCCCCCTGCCGAAAAGGCGCCCCCCTGTTGGCGCCCCCTCCCCTTTTGGTGCCCCTCCCTAAAATTGAACAAATTAGGTGATTTTAGAGGATACGCCGGTAAAATCTCTAAAAAAGTGTGTATCTAGAGCAAAACGCGCAGTTTTGCTAGTACTTTAGTTAAGTTTTCGAAATTGTCCCACATTCAAACGATGATTTGGCGCCCCCCTAAGACGGCGCCCCCCTGCACAGCGGGGTCAGCAGGGCCCTTCGTTACGCCACTGATATCGACCATGATAAGACGTGGGATGCACAGAAAAAATGTTACATTTTCATTTATATATTTTTAATCCATTTAAATATGATAAATAGTTTTAACTTTATAACTGGAAGTTAAACTAAAACTAGAGACCAGAAGGTTTAAACGATACCTATTGCTGAAACTTGGCTTCTCTTGCTGAGTTCCTCAACTGACACATGCTCAAACCTCCCCGCGCAGTATCTGGTACACAATTTATACAATTACAATTTATATAATTACAGCTAATTACAGTAATTACACTTACAGTACTAATTACAGCTAATGAATACAAATAATTCATTTTGTTGATTTTTCAACATTCATAACTCAAAATATCATAGAGGTAGTTCTTGTAGGATGTAAGTTGCCATTTATTTACGTTTAATTAAATAATTAATAAATTAACCTTTTCTTATTAGGTCATGTAATGTAGTAAAGGTTATCACTACCATCCTTCTCACATTGCAGGTCGTCTTTAACGTTCTTGTAGGATGTAAGTTGCCATTTATTTACGTTTAATTAAATAATTAATAAATTAACCTTTTCTTATTAGGTCCTGTAATGTAGTAAAGGTTATCACTACCATCCTTCTCACATTGCAGGTCGTCTTTAACGTTATCAAACCTCTCTTCAACTCCAAACAGACGTTCAAACCATAGCATGCTGGGTCCATACTTACCCATTATCAGAGATAAAACTAAATGTTCAGAGTTAGTTAGTTACTTAGTAACTTACTTAGTAACTTACTTAGTAACTTACTTAGTAACTTACTTAGTTACTTTTTACACGATCGTGTAAATCGTTTAAATTGTTTAGTTACTTAGTTAGCAAGTACTAGAACCATAATTACCCATTATATTATTATTATCATAGTTAAATACAGAGTAGAGGTATTTACAATTAGGTTTATAACGTTCGCGATGTTGCTTTTTAACCGTACCAAGTCACGTTTCAATGGATCGAATATATCATTAAAAGCATTTTTTTCGAAGCGTGTTATAAATGTTAGAATTTATCTATTTATAGATTCGTCAATATTGACTACATGATGTTCACAACATCATGTAGTCCAATAAAAAATGCTGGACTATTTACGATCATCTGCTATATCAACTGAAGCTAATTATTTACTATTCAGAAGAAAGAAAACGCGATATTTTGAGTCAATTTAATCCATTATAATTATAATGACAATTTTACAAATAAGGTATACATGATAATATATGATAACAAAATCCAAACACGACCAGTTTTCTCTATTTCCAATGTCTCTCCTCTACTTATCTATATCAGTGAATGTCGCCTGATAGGAACCCTCTGCTTACCTTTCTAACAAAAATAACAATTAAGATATAATTTTGATGAGTTCACCACAATCCCGGATCTGAGCAAAAACGCAAAACACAATTCAAATCATCAGGGGTAGCCAGTGTAACTTTTATAGAACACGTGTCCAGTATACAACCTTCTGATTGGTCAGCTAGAATCACGTGTCCGGTGTAACACTGACTACCCCTGACAGTCTTTGAAAGTCCGCTCTTCACTAACCCTCCTCGCACACTGCCTCCAGACATACGGGGCAACTAAAGTTGACCAGCAACTAACAGAACAGGGAATCACAGAAGAACAACCTGAGGTAACTACAGGACGATCCTCACAGAGAGACACTGTCTCCACGTCTCCACTCTCGCGCGTCTCCGCACTAATAGTGGAGACATGACGCGTTGCACAGGGAGGCGTACAACACTTGGCGAGGCGCTGGAGCTCCTCAAAATGTCACAGTAGACAACATGGAGCCCAGACACTGGGTAATGTTGTCGGTCATCAGCATGTCAACATGTTCTTCAAGATGGCGTTTAGGATCACGTTTACCCACGTGCTTTATAGCCAGCTGCTCGGCGGTCAGTGTGTCTTCCTCCTGTAACGGATGATATTATGTGGTTAGTTCTTTAGATAGCTTTAAAAGGTTTGGCATCGTAAAAATTAAAAGAGTTTCAGACTGAGCAGACTGAAGTTCTTGAAGTTGATTTAAGTACTGACTCTCTTATCATCTGTCTGATTTTTAATAAAGAAGAAATAAAATATTCAGTCTGGTGTGATCATCCAACACGACAACAAATTGATAAAACAAAGAATGTGCTGAAACAAAACCGTACCTCAATAGATTTAGAGTAGTTCTTAGCGAGCTCCAGCATGTCCTTCATAGTTGTTTCATTGTTAGTCTCGTGAGTTTTAAAGTCCTCCAATTTCAGCCCCTCCATCCAGGACTTCTTGTGGAGGTTCAGCAACATCTTCTGTTCTAGGTCGTTTTTACGACAGTTAATTGCAATGCTGTAGTAGTGCCTGTTCAGTCCGTGTATCAGAGCCTAGAGGGTGAGAGGGGTTTAGTTACAGTTTTGGGTTTAACATATTTCATCATTCATAAAACAGAAATTAAAATTGTATGACATGATCCGATCCTGCTAGTTGCTGTAATGTTATCTTACGTATTATAACCAATAAAAACTTCTAAGAAATATAATTATTATATTATTATACAGGGTGGCCCATGATAGTCTACCCATCCTTATCTCTTAAAATTGTTACAGGTCGCTGAGATCTTGCTAATTATTTTATTTCAGAATGGAAAAGCGCCATAACTTACGTTCTGATTAATATTTTTGCTTCAAATTTTTAGAGAATGTCAATCATAATTAGACACAACTTCGTGCTAAGTTTTGTGTGAGTCTGAGCTTGTCTGGCAAAATTAGCTCCTGAGTGCGCTAGCGTTAATTTCTCACCCAGAACTGTTTACATTGGTTAATAGAAACCACCAAAAAAAATCCTGGGTAAAAAAATTAAAAAAACACCGATTTATTTATGTTTTACCAATTCTATTCACCACGATGCATCGCACATTCCATTCTCTACACTGCTGTACAGTGTACATCCTATATTTTAACTGCAGATAAGGACTATCACAGATGATCCTTCCTGCTTGTTTATATCGTTCTGCTCACTTGCATTAACAAATTTAAAATTATAGCTGGATGATTAGCCTACAATTTTATCGATTTTACAAACGGTGGTTTGAAATAGGTTTACAGCAGGTCAGCCGATTCCCATGAGATGAGTAAATAAACTTGAAAAGAAAACAAACGATAACGTAGATTTCCGGTCGATAATCCATAATCTTATGAATTCTCATGGGAATTTTACGATAGCAGGGATAGATTTCCCCCTTAAAAGTCGCAACAATTTATTAACCATTAACGATCATCTCATCATGCCTCTACTAACTCTCCAGCAACGGATATTTATTGTTTCTGAATCCAAGGATACCCCCTTCGCAGCTCTTATCCAACTGTTCATAGCGAAATTCCCTGGAATCACTCCCCCTACTAGGAAAGCAGTCTACAACCTTAAGAAGAAATTTACAGAACATGGAGTTGTCACCAACCGACAAAAGGATGCATCTGGTCCACCATCTACGGGAGTGACCTTTGAGAACACTGTGGCTGTAGTAGGATCTGTGGCAGACCACCCCAGGCAATCGACCAGAAGACGTTCGGCCAATCTTGGCATACCTAGGACGACTTTGCAACGCATTCTGAGGACTGAACTGAAACTGTACCCTTATCGCTGGACAGTTCACCACACTCTGCAGCTTCAGGATCCACCAGTTAGAGTACGCTTTGCTGACTGGTTGCTTCTGAAAGATTCCACAAACGAGGACTTTATCGGAAACATCTGGTGGACCGACGAAGCCAAGTTCTGCCTCCACGGTTCCGTCAACAGCCACAACGCAATACACTGGGGCAGCCAGAGACCTGACAGCGTGCAGCAGAGACCTACTCAGAACTCTCCAAAGCTGAACGTCTGGTGTGCGATCTCTTCTCACGGAATCATCGGACCATACTTCTTCAAGGATGCAGCTGGTGCCACTGTAACTGTGAACGGAGATCGCTACCTACAGATGTTGCAGAGCTTCTTCATACCAGAACTCTTCAACTTCTGTGCACACCACGACCTGGATCCGTCTCTCATGAGCTTTATGCAGGACGGGGCGAGAGTGCACATCCCCAACCGCATTATTGATTACCTTGGTGACCAGTTTGGGAGCATGACGATCGGAGAGAAACTTGCTCAACACTGGCCAGCCTGCTCTCCTGACCTCACTCCTTGCGACTTCTTCCTGTGGGGATGGTTGAAGGATAAGGTCTACGAGAGTCTACCCATCCCCAACCTTGCTGCTTTAGAAGTTGTCATTCGTGACAACTTGCGGAACATCCCCATCACTCACTGCCAGAACTCCTGTTTATCAGTAGCCAAGAGGATGGACGTCCTGAAGAGCCGAGGCGGTGGTCACATTGAGCACCTTCTCCAAACGGTGATTTTAATCGCCAACACAAACGGTGATTTTAATCGCCAACACAAACGGTGATTTTAATCGCCAACACAAACGGTGATTTTAATCGCCAACACGGCGGGCAATGGATGAACCTTCTCGTGGTGCCTGCCGAGAAACACAATTCAATTGATTTCAGTATCGATAAAATTGTAGGCTAATCATCCAGCTATAATTTTAAATTTGTTAAGGCAAGTGAGCAGAACGATATAAACAAGCAGGAAGGATCATCTGTGATAGTCCTTATCTGCAGTTAAAATATAGGATGTACACTGTACAGCAGTGTAGAGAATGGAATGTGCGATGCATCGTGGTGAATAGAATTGGTAAAACATAAATAAATCGGTGTTTTTTTAATTTTTTTACCCAGGATTTTTTTTGGTGGTTTCTATTAACCAATGTAAACAGTTCTGGGTGAGAAATTAACGCTAGCGCACTCAGGAGCTAATTTTGCCAGACAAGCTCAGACTCACACAAAACTTAGCACGAAGTTGTGTCTAATTATGATTGACATTCTCTAAAAATTTGAAGCAAAAATATTAATCAGAACGTAAGTTATGGCGCTTTTCCATTCTGAAATAAAATAATTAGCAAGATCTCAGCGACCTGTAACAATTTTAAGAGATAAGGATGGGTAGACTATCATGGGCCACCCTGTATAATATTATTATAATATTATTATATTATTATATTATTATATTATTATATAATATATATATAATACGGACATTTAAGAATTAAATAGAATAGAAGAATTAAATAGCAAGAAATTGAATTTAGCTTGAGTATGCATTTCTTAAGTTACTTACTTGGATGGATGGTTTATGGAGATGCCCCAGGTTAGAGGTAGTCTGCCGGGGTTCCTGTCCGAGTACCAGCAAGTTGGGATTTATCAGTCGGAAGGCGTCAATAACGACCTGAACAAAACAACTCATTGTACTAGTCGCAGTGATATTTCATGTTTGGAAATTTTACTTAAGAATGACACTGTAAAAAAAAGGTTATACATTCCCCCAGAGTCAGCTGAAATAGTAATATAATATAATATACAACAATGTATATTTCAGTAGAGCCGGAGTTTCAAAAGACAGTTCTACAAAAGGTTAACATACCTTGCCCTTCACACTCTGAATAGGATCCACAACAACAGCAACAGCTCTGGAAGTAAGGGCCTCGAAACTCTGCTGAGTGTTGATATCCACACCAGACAGCCAGCACCCGAACCCAGGATGTGAGTGGTACCATCCAACTACCATCTCTGGGCGACCTGTACAAGACGGGCACGTTATCATACAGTTTCATTTTAACACTTATCTGAGTCGAAAGTGCTCATAAAACTAAGATGGAGACTAAAACAAGCTGAACTATCTTCTATTCTTTTCATTTCAATAATTAAATATCAAGACTATATAATATAGTAATATTATTGCGATATCATAAATTGAAGTTGAGCCTGTGATTAATACTAAGTTATTTAATAAATAAGTGAATACAGCAAATACAGCAGATCACAAATGACTTACCAGTTTGCTTGAGCATGTCTAACATCTTAGCCTGAAAGACAGGATCGACAGCTTCAACCGAGACTCCTGTACCGGACTGAGGCATAGCAAACACGTCATCAACTCGCACCGTGTAGTCGTCCACAAACTCACCTGAACAGAAGGTGTTTTAAAACAGGCTATTTCAAAAGTGCAGTCTTTATTTATCTTCAGATGAAACCTTTGGGGGGGGTCCAACCCGATCAATTCCGATCATTCCGATCCCGATTTTGGCCTCATCAACCCTCATATCGGAAAAATCGGGAAAATTTAAATCTTCCCTCTGAGGTTTCTAGGCGATATAAGTAGCTATTTCTGTACTTAGATATGACAAGAAATCGATTGGTGGTGGTCCCAGAACCCCAAAATGGTATCTTGTTCTAAACAAGAATCGTTTCGTCCGAAAAACAACACAATGTCGTACCAACTCTTGTTTGACATGAACATCCACCCCGGTCCACAATTGAAAGAGGTACGGTTGGTAATAACAATCGTAACAAATAGCGAACGCTTTAGTAACTTTTGATTTAAATTGTCTCCACAATTTGTAACAGGCTATCTGCAGAAATGGGTAGCACGGTTAATGACTATGGTCCTTTCTCAAACTTCCAATCCTCAGTTAGATACAAAGAATAGTCTACACAATTTTCAATAACATTAAAAGGGATGAAAATCACTTTATTTATCAAAATCTTTATTTATCATGTAACAACTTTTCCATAGTTGTTACATTTTGAGTCAGTAACAGTAACATGTCAATATGTTACAGACTCAAATGCGTTTAAAAACATTTTAGTAACAATAAATTGTGTAAACTGATGAGGAGGAGGAGGAGGAGGACTGAGGAGAAGGAGGACTGAGGAGGACAGAGGAGGAAGACTGAGGAGGACCAGGACGAGCACTAGGAGGATGAGGACGAGGACTAGGAGGATGAGGACGAGGACTAAGGACGATGAGGACGAGGACTAAGGACGAGGAGGAGGACGACTGAGGAGGAGGACTGATTAGGAGGAGGACTGATTAGGAGGAGAAGGAAGAGAAGAAGGAGGAGGAGGATGAGGAAGAGAAATGAGGAGGAGGAGGAAAAGGAGGAAGACTGAGGAGAAAGAGGAGGACTGAGGAGGAGGAGGACTGAAGAGGAGAGGGAGGACTGAGGAAGAGGAGCAGGATTGGTGTGGAGGAAGACGAGAAGGAGGAGGACGAGAGCGAGGACGAGGAGGAAGACTGAGGAGGAGGACTGTTAAAAAGGAGAAGGACGAGGACTGAGGAGGAGGACTGAGGATGAGGAGAAGGAGGACTGGGGGAGGACTAAGGACGAGGAGGACTGAGGAGGAGGACTGAGGATGAGGAGGAGGACTGAGGATGAGGAGGAGGAGAAGGAGGACTAGGGAGGACTGAGGAAGAGGAGGACTTAGGGAGGACTGAGGAGGAGGAGGACTGAGGAGGATGATGAGGAGGAGGACTGAGGATGAGGAGGAGGAGAAGGAGGACTGGGGGAGGACTGATGAGGAGGAGGACTGGGGGAGGACTGAGGAGCAGGAGGATGACTTAGGAGTAGGAGGAGAAGGAGGAGAAGGAGGAAAAGGATGAGAGGGAGGAGGAGGACTGAGGAGGAGGAGGAGGACTTAGGAGTAGGAGGAGAAGAAGGAGAAGGAGGACTGGCGAGGAGGAGGACTGACGAGGAGGAGAAGGACTGCGGAGGAGGAGGACTGAGGAGAAGGAGGAGGAGGAGGACTGACGAGTAGGAGGAAGAGGAGTACTGAGGAGGAACAAGATGACGACTGAAGAGGATGAGGAGGATGAGAAGGAGGACTGGGGGAGGACTGAGGAAGAGGAGGACTTGGGGAGGAGGATGAGGACGATGAGACTGATGAGGACTGAGGAGGAAGACTGAGGAGGATGAGGACGAGGACTAAGGACGAGGACTAGGAGGATGAGGACAAGGGCTAATGAAGAGGAGGAGGACGACTGAGGAGGAGGACTGATTAGGAGGAGAAGGAAGAGGAGAAGGAGGAGGAGGATGAGGAGGAGGACTGAGGAGGAGGAGGAGGATGAGGAGGATGAGGACTGAGGAGGAATACTGAAGAGGACGAGGACTAAGGACGAGGAGGAGGCGGAGGACGATTGAGGAGGAGGAATGATTAGGAGGAGAAGAAAGAGGAGAAGGAGGAGGAGGAGTAGGAGGAGGAGGAGAAGGAGGAGGATTAGGACTGGGGGAGGACTGAGGAGGAGGATAAGGAGGAGGAGGACTAAGGACGAGGATGAGGACGAGGACGATTATGAGGAGGACAGAGGATGAGGACTGATGAGGAGGAGAAGGAGGAGGAGGATGAGGAGGAGAAGGAGGAGGAGGACTGGGGGAGGACTCAGGAGGAAGAGGATGATGACTGAGGAGGAGGATGAGGACTCAGGAGGAGGACTCAGGAGGTGGACTCAGGAGGTGGAGGAGGATGAGAAGGACTCAGGAGGAGGAGGACGACTATGAGGAGGACTAAGGAGAACTGATGGGGAGGAGAAGGAGGATCAGGAGGAGAAATGAGGATGAGGAGGAGGAGAAGGAGAAGGAGAAGGAGAAGGAGAAGGAGGAGGACTGGGAGTAGGACTGAGGAGGAGAAGGGGATTGAGGAGGAGGGTGAGGAGGACTGAGGAGAAGGACGAGGACGAGGACGAGGAGTCAGGAAGAGGACTGAAGAGGACTGAGGAGGAGAAGGACTCAGGAGGAGGAAGACTTAGGAGGAGGAGGAGGAGGACATCTAAATGTTTTGTCTGTTTTTGTCCGCCCTACTTTTTGTCCGTTTTGAAAATACAGGGTACCGAACGGACACAAAACATGATCCCCCAGCCAAGCATGTGTTACGATACAAATGTACTTGACTATACATTTAAGGTGCAGTGTACTAGTGATATTATGGTATGTTTAAAGACCGGACCACAAAATATAACCCTAGTGTTGTACTAATACATAATAACAAGTAACAGGGATAAAATTAATGAGCAGAAACAATCGATCTCACGTCAAGAGGCCAAAGCACTCGGGTCTGGGAGTACATGACAACTCCAACTAGTAGTGAGCATACTAGCCCCTGCAGTGGAAAAACACATAAAACATACTATTGGAATGTCTAATTAGTTCGTTTTCTCATAACAATATAGCATATGTAGGGGTTTTTTATCACTTCCTCACTTCTGAGAGGTTTTAGAGATCGATTCTCTAAAATTTCTCAATTTTCCGATTTTTCCGATTTTTCCGATTCCGATTTTGGCCTCATCAACCCTCATATCGGACATCGGGTTGGACCCCCCCCCCCCCCCCCCCCCCCCCAACCTTTGTAATCAGACACGTCGTGTGGATACAAATCAACAATAATATGTTAAAGCTTCAAAGAATTTGAAAAATAAACAGTAGGATAGTGTGAAACTCACCCAACATGAGACCCATGACCTCCATGGGTACACCAGCTCGACCGTGTTTCAACATCTTGAGCAGAGCGAGTGAGGAGATGTAGGTCTGTTCAGCAGTGTCCACTAAAGGAGAATCTGCTCCGGGCCCACCTCCTGCTCCACCTCCAAACCCTGGGGATTGGCAAGTCATATCATTATTCATTAATCTCCTGCCATCTGCCACCCTATAATCTACAAACCAAGTGGTGATGTGAAATAATAATTATGGTCAAGTTCGGAGACAACCTATACATTTTTTACTTTTTTAGAAGTGTGTGGTGGAGCCAGCTCAACACAGAATGAAACTCCCTGATTTTATGGATGACAAGACATTTTTCAGGACTTTCTCTGAGTAAAAAAAAAAAATTAAAAGGTTGAACGGTTGAGCAGATACAGGTGGTATTAAACAATCCCTTAAAAGGCGGAGATTTAAGGTGGAGACTGGCTCTGGTTGAAGAAACTTTTGATTAAGGTGGAAAAGGTTATTGGTAACACAATCTACATCAAATTTGCAATCTGATGGTTTTATCAATATTTTATTTAAGTGCTCAACCGAGGTGGAGAAATTAAATACACTTTTCAAAGCTGCTCAACCGGGGGTGGAGAAAGGTTTAGAGAGTTCTAGGTTAGCTAGAAAGTTGCGTCTCGGCCTTTTCTACTTCCCGTTAAATTTTGTTTTTTCCATTGACGCTCAACAGGGTGGAGATCTTTCATTAAGAAACAGTAAAAAGCCTGTCAAACATGCCTAAATTCATTGGTTTTATCACTAATTCTAATCTGCTCTGTTAACTGTTACTGTAGGGGATCATAAAACTGTTACCCCTTCTGTCTTAAAGCAAAGTGTTCTAGCAAATGAAAAAACTATCAAAGCAAAGTTGTGAAAAGGTGCTCAACAAGGTGGAGAAATTGTTGATTAAACATTAAAACATTAAAAAATGTATTAAAACTGGCCCCACCGGGTTGAGTTAAGCTATGGCAGTTGATTTCTGGAAGAAATAACATTGGGTGACCCTTTAGCATGCATACAACTCATCAAACTAGCCATCAACCACTCAACCGCGGTGGAGAACCTTGAATTCGGAGGTCAAATTTACGCCCAAATTTGCCAAATTTGAGTCTCCACCTATGTTGAGTGTACTTTTCAGCAAGGATGCCTTGTAATATGAGTTGCTAGATGATTTAGAATCATTGGTATTGCAAATGGACTGTCACAGTCACTCTACAGCTCCTAAACTACAGAATAACAGATTTTGAACTGCATGTTATGCTGTCTCCACCTCGGTTGAGCCGATTCTGAGGATCCTATTTTATGAAATATGATTGGTATAACCCATAATATTAAATATTAGGACTTTGGAGCAATTAAAAAGCATGAGAGGGTTAGTTCTAGTCACTTATATTAGCTCATGTAGTCAGTGAGCTGCTCCACCTGTGTTGAGCAGACAAACCTGCTCAACCGGCACTTTTTGAGTACCCACCTGTCTTACGTAACTTTAAATTGTGAAATTTGGAGTAAATATTTTTTTCATAAGTGATTTACAGCTCCTTTATTTTTGTAATTTTCAGGTGGCCACTGTCTCCACCAAGGTTGAGTTATTTAAATTTTGAACCCAGATATCATTATAGAAAGGTTAGGAGTATAGTATCTGAAGAGCCTGTACCCCTTGGACTGTCAGAGGAATTATAATTAATTTTACCGTTTATGGCAGTGAAATGAGTGTAATTAGTGACTGATTTTATGTACAGGTTGTCTCCGAACTTGACCTTATAGCTTGTAACGACTAGTCACTGGTTAGTAGTAACAATTAGTACACTATATATATATAATAAATTATTATAATTGCTGACGGCCCCGAGCGACGTTAATGTGGCTTTTTCTGTGTGTTCGTTCAGCCGAATTAATTATTATATGTATAATCAAGTTTATTTTTCTTAGTTCAGTTAGTTAGTCATCCAGCCATACATTATGCAACTTATATTGCAGTACCAATTTCCATTACTAGTTGTATCATGTATGTCAAAATAATGTCAACGTAATTTTGCATGGCTGAAATGTAACGCTTGATTTATATATACAGTATTATATGATAATTAATTGAATTTTCGAATAAAAAAGTATTTTACCTGTTCCAAGTCTGAGAAGACGCTCCATTTTACTAGCTAAAGAAGGTAAAACGTTAGCAGAGTCAACGATAATCGTATTTAATAACTAAAATAGTATAATAAGATGAACAGTTGATATAATGTAGGAAACTTTAATTTGTCGATGGGATCACTCGCACTGCCATTGGAAACAAATGAGAAAGGCGACAGCCATTAGAAATTGGAATTAAATAAGTTCACAAAATTGCTACATTATGTAACTTGTAAATCTTCAAGCAATAAACTCAAAATAAAGTCTAAAGTTTAAAACATTATAAATTAAGTATTATAAATTAAGATCTGAAAATTCAATATAGATATAGACTAAAGCCAGCCATTTGTCAATAATGAGGGTACCACATTCAAAGCTTGGGTCAAAAAGATATAACTTAAACAGACGATCAGACCAATAATTATGATAATTTGTCGTACTGAATAACTCAGTGCCAATTATAAACCTATCATCTGATCTAAGTATAGAGCTGACTGTAAGGGTCTCCCTTCTTCATAATCTCTTCGCTGACTCTGTGAACTGTGTCAACAAACGTTCGCACACTTTCAGGGTCCATGTCGGGGTATATTCCGTGACCAAGGTTAGCTATGTAGTTCCGCACTCCAAATGCCCGGACCATTTCTGTTGTTTTTGCAATCAAATCTTCTTTAGGCGCATAAAGAGCGCAAGGGTCGAGGTTTCCTGCAATATTTTGAAATTTAAAATTCTTTAAATTAGATTTTAAGTTTTAAATGCTGAATTGGATAAAAGAAATTAAACCAATAGTAGAATTAGTTTTTTTGTTTGATGTAAACCTTGTATTAATGTTATAAATGAAGACTCAAATTTGGATTACATAAGATCGGCTTACCTTGGACAGCTATGTGCACAAAATCTCTGGCAATATTAGGGTCCACAGTCCAATCCAGCCCTACCACATTGTAGCCAGCATAACTGAGTTTAGATATAGAATGATAAGCACCCTTTGCAAACACGATCAAAGGAACATCACCCAGACCCCTCTGGGTAATGCCATCTTTAACTCCGGCTGCTATTTCTTCCAGGTAGGGAAGGGAGTATTCCTCAAACAGGGTAGGACCCAGGTATTCTGCACTGCTTTCAAATACTTGCAGTAACTGTGCTCCTGCTGCTACCTGCAGAGAAGAAATATTGTAACTTCTAGCTTCCTTGCATTTTGAATCACTACCAAAATAATATGTTCTGAAATCATACTGGAATGAAAATTATCAGGATGTGATATTTTACTCAAGAGGAAGGTCTGAACAGCACTGATGCAACTGTAATGAGTTCAATAATGTTTACAGAAATATCTTACAGTTTGCTAAATTCGCATCCTGTTTAAACTAACCTGTTCAATGAGGTAAGCTATAATAACTTTAGTCAATAATTTCAATAATTTGTGGCTTGCTTCAGGCTCGGCGTAGAGCCACTTCTTGGCTTTACTCATAGTTTTGCTACCACCTCCTTCAATCATGTACCCCATCAATGTATACGGGGCTCCAGTGAAACCAATTAATGGCACTTTACCCTCGAGCTTGTGTCTTGTCAATGTTATAGCTTCGTATACATAATTTAGTTTGGTCCTCACATCAACATTGGTATCAAGTTTGCTGAGGTCCGAAGGGTGAACAAGAGGTTCTGGAAATACAGGTCCCACTCCTGGTTTCATCAACACTTCCATCCCAAGTGCTTGTGGGATCACTGGGAAAACACTGATTAAGATGAGCAATGGGTCATCAATTTGAGGTTGTGACCATGCTTTATCACAGTTTTGGGAATGAACTTAATAAAAGTATAAAAACAGATTGTTAAAGTTACCAATACATCATAACCCACCCAGTATGTCTGAAAATATAATGGCAGCGTCAAAATCAAATCGCCTGATAGGTTGCAGGGTAACTTCACAAGCTAGTTCTGGAGTTTGGCAGATTGTAAAGAAGTCGTGTTTCTTTCGCTCCTCTCGATATTCTGGTAGATATCTTCCAGCCTAGACAGAAAAGAAATTGAAAATAAGAAGGTTTATTATCCAGTGTTAAAATTTAAAATAGAAATCAAGTCTAAGATGCAACAATAAGCCTATTAACAGTGATAAAATACTAGCCTGTCGCATTATCCAAACTGGGACACGTTCAACCACTTCTCCAAAAGCCGCACGAATTATTAAGTCGTTCTTTAATGGGGGAAACGACATGTCTGACTTATGCACCATCTGAAGTAACATGGTCCAACGATTAAGAATCGTGAAAAGCATAAAATGGAACATAAATTCAATAACATTACATGAAAAGGGTTCTTGAATAAGAAATGAAAAGCTTTGAATTGTGAAACACAATTAAGATTACAGTGAGCTTTCAGCAAGCTAATGGCTAATATTGAAGTCTCTTCAGAACGCCTGATTACGGTTGCCCAACATATTAGGCAAGGTTGCTTTGTTGCTCTTTTAAACTATAAGCAGTGGCGAAATGACCGCCCTGTTACCCCCTGCTATACGGCCCATTAGGGCTGAGTTGGCATTTTTCCAAATTTTAGGTATTCTTTAAAGCTAAAATGCCCAATTTGTGTATTATCATGGCCAATTCAACGTTCAGTTGACGTGAGCAAATAAAGTTGGGGTATTTTTTGCTTCATGGCCTGGGGGCGGCAAAAAGCAGAACGAAGCAGCAAAAAGGAGATCTGACCATGTTTTGAAGGACCAATAAATTTGCGGGGGGGGGGGGGCGGAACACAGGTACATTTTACAGGTTACAAGTGTGCAAAAGGCAAGCTGCAGATTTTTATTCAATCTATAAAAAGTATCATTGCAATCAATATAACAATATGATCCCACTATTTTAAAGATAGTACCATTTAAAATTAAGCTTTTTTGTGTCAATTTGAATGTGTTTTCATTGTGTTTGTAGATCGTATCTCTGAAATGAAAGCTGACCACAATAAAAAAGCTAAGAGCCCGGTCAAACTGTCAAAACTCAAATATCACATTAGAATACGATACAGGTTTGATTTGCTACGAAGCACACTCATAGCACTCAGGGGAATTGAAGAAGAAGACAAAAAGCCCATTAAATAAGTTCACAAAATTGCTACATTATGTATCTTGTAAGTCTTCAAGCAATAAACTCAAAATAAAGTCTAAAGTTTAAAACATTATAAATTAAGTATTATAAATTAAGATCTGAAAATTCAATATCTATAGACTAAAGCCTGCCATTTGTCAATGAGGGTACCACATTCAAAGCTTGGGTCAAAAAGACATAACTTAAGCAGACGATCAGACCAATATAAATAATTATGATAATTTCAGTGTCGTACTGAATAACTCAGTGCCAATTATAAACCTATCATCTGATCTAAGTATAGAGCTGACTGTAAGGGTCTCCCTTCTTCATAATCTCTTCGCTGACTCTGTGAACTGTGTCAACAAACGTTCGCACACTTTCAGGGTCCATGTCAGGGTATATTCCGTGACCAAGGTTAGCTATGTAGTTCCGCACTCCAAATGCCCGGACCATTTCTGTTGTTTTTGCAATCAAATCTTCTTTAGGCGCATAAAGAGCGCAAGGGTCGAGGTTTCCTGCAATATTTTGAAATTTAAAATTCTTTAAATTAGATTTTAAGTTTTAAATGCTGAATTGGATAAAAGAAATTAAACCAATTGTAGAATTAGTTTTTTTGTTTGATGTAAACCTTGTATTAATGTTATAAATGAAGACTCAAATTTGGATTACATAAGATCGGCTTACCTTGGACAGCTATGTGCACAAAATCTCTGGCAATATTAGGGTCCACAGTCCAATCCAACCCTACCACATTGTAGCCAGCATAACTGAGTTTAGATATAGAATGATAAGCACCCTTTGCAAACACGATCAAAGGAACATCACCCAGACCCCTCTGGGTAATGCCATCTTTAACTCCTGCTGCTATTTCTTCCAGGTAGGGAAGGGAGTATTCCTCAAACAGGGTAGGACCCAGGTATTCTGCACTGCTTTCAAATACTTGCAGTAACTGTGCTCCTGCTGCTACCTGCAGAGAAGAAATATTGTAACTTCTAGCTTCCTTGCATTTTGAATCACTACCAAAATAATATGTTCTGAAATCATACTGGAATGAAAATTATCAGGATGTGATATTTTACTCAAGAGGAAGGTCTGAACAGCACTGATGCAACTGTAATGAGTTCAATAATGTTTACAGAAATATCTTACAGTTTGCTAAATTCGCATCCTGTTTAAACTAACCTGTTCAATGAGGTAAGCTATAATAACTTTAGTCAATAATTTCAATAATTTGTGGCTTGCTTCAGGCTCGGCGTAGAGCCACTTCTTGGCTTTACTCATAGTTTTGCTACCACCTCCTTCAATCATGTACCCCATCAATGTATACGGGGCTCCAGTGAAACCAATTAATGGCACTTTACCCTCGAGCTTGTGTCTTGTCAATGTTATAGCTTCGTATACATAATTTAGTTTGGTCCTCACATCAACATTGGTATCAAGTTTGCTGAGGTCCGAAGGGTGAACAAGAGGTTCTGGAAATACAGGTCCCACTCCTGGTTTCATCAACACTTCCATCCCAAGTGCTTGTGGGATCACTGGGAAAACACTGATTAAGATGAGCAATGGGTCATCAATTTGAGGTTGTGACCATGCTTTATCACAGTTTTGGGAATGAACTTAATAAAAGTATAAAAACAGATTGTTAAAGTTACCAATACATCATAACCCACCCAGTATGTCTGAAAATATAATGGCAGCGTCAAAATCAAATCGCCTGATAGGTTGCAGGGTAACTTCACAAGCTAGTTCTGGAGTTTGGCAGATTGTAAAGAAGTCGTGTTTCTTTCGCTCCTCTCGAAATTCAGGTAGATATCTTCCAGCCTAGACAGAAAAGAAATTGAAAATAAGAAGGTTTATTATCCAGTGTTAAAATTTAAAATAGAAATCAAGTCTAAGATGCAACAATAAGCCTATTAACAGTGATAAAATACTAGCCTGTCGCATTATCCAAACTGGGACACGTTCAACCACTTCTCCAAAAGCTGCACGAATTATTAGGTCGTTCTTTAATGGAGGAAACGACATGTCTGACTTATGCACCATCTGAAGTAACATGGTCCAACGATTAGGAATCGTGAAAAGCATAAAATGGAACATAAATTCAATAACATTACATAAAAAGGGTTCTTGAATAAGAAATGAAAAGCTTTGAATTGTGAAACACAATTAAGATTCCAGTGAGCTTTCAGCAAGCTAATGGCTAATATTGAAGTCTCTTCAGAACGCCTGATTACGGCTGCCCAACATATTAGGCAAGGTTGCTTTGTTGCTCTTTTAAACTATAAGCAGTGGTGAAATGACCGCCCAGTTACCCCCTGCTATACGGCTCATTAGGGCTGGGGTGGCATTTTTCCAAATTTCAGGTATTCTTTTTAAAAGCTAAAATGCCCAATTTGTGTATTATCATGGCCAATTCATCGTTCAGTTGACGTGAGCAAATAAAGTTGGGGTATTTTTTGCTTCATGGCCTGGGGGCGGCAAAAAGCAGAACGGAGCAGCAAAAAGGAGATCTGACCATGTTTTTGAAGGACAATAAATTTGCGGGGGGGGGGGGGGGCGGAACACACATACATTTTACAGGTTTACATTTTACACAGTATTTTTATCTGTGCTCTGCGTAATGCATCACATGAATCAGTTTTTTTAATCTATTAACTTATTACACATTTGTGCTCTGCTTTAGCATCACTTGACTATTTAATAAAATTGTTTGTTCAGGCCATGACCTTATAGTCAGCCAATTGGCCATTGCTATATTATGTGTATATTGTTTGAATATTCTTTTCTTTTACAGGTTAAAAGTGTGCAAAAGGTAAGCTGCAGATTTTTGTTCAATCTATAAACAATATGATATCACAATGACCCTATATAAAAACAAACCTTCAAAAAATCAATATATTCCCTATCTCAAGTATTGGGAGAAAAATTTGAATATCAATTTTTACCTTGTGGCTCCAAATTCAAATCTAAACTGTTTATATCAACAAATATTGTATTATATTATATATATTATGTATCAAAACTTTTACGTCCTACTATGCAATATTCAATAGTACAGTATGTACAAGCTGATTTATTTGTTGTGAAATTTTTTTTTTGGGGAATATTTATAAAATTATTCAAACAATATCAAATATACACATAATATAGCAATGACCCTATATAAAATCTACCCTTTAAGAATTAAAAAAGTTTCCTGTGAAAATCCTCAAACAATTTATTATACGTTTGTGCTCAGCTGATATCAGGCTGAGCGGTGCTTTAGAAACCGCGCATCCTTCTAATATATCGTCAATTTTAAATATTCAATTTTAAATAATTAAAGTAACTAGTGGTTTGTGATAAAGACACAAACGGTCAGCCATTAGCTAATAACGAACCATGGCGAAGTAACAAGTCACTAGGTTCCTTACTCTGTACTGAGAAGGACATTCAAAGAAGGAGAATCCTAGCTGAGATTGCTTTTAAGAACTTTGGAAAAGTATGGTTGTCCGGTAAGAAAATTTCCCTTGAAAGAAAGCTGAGGTTATATGATGCTCAAGTTGTATCTGTATTGATTTACAACTCAAATAGTTGGAGTCCTAAGAAAGCAACCATGGAGAAAATGGACACACTCCATCGTAGACACCTCAGGTCCATTTTAAACATCAAATGGCCTAAAGGTATGATAAGCAACAAAGCATTGTATGAAAGGTGCAAAGTTGAAAAGTTATCCAAGCGTATTGAACACCAGCGGTGGAAGATGTTTGGACACATTCTCAGGAGTATGGAGAACACCCCAGCCCAAACGGCTCTCTCTTTTGCTATTGAATCAGATAATTTATTCATTGGTAGATTGGGGAGACCTAGAATGAACTTGTTATCGGTTTTAAGAAGTGATTTAAGTAGTAGAAATTTGCAAATGGACAACTTGCATGAATTGAACGAAATTAGAGATATAGCTGAATGCAACAGATGTTGGGAAAATCTTTTTCAAGGGTACAGTTTACCGCATTAAGGTATTTTTAAGAATCATTTTTGTCGGTAAGATCCTGTTTTATAATAATAATAGTGGTTTGACTGAATATGGATCGGGTTTGTTCAGAATGAGCATATCTGGTCTTAATCTAGTTTTAAACAATAGGTGTAGTAAGAGTGTAACTAAAGTTAAGAATCTCCAGTCTTCTTTTCTTCCGGAGCGAGTCATTCCTTACTGGAACAAACTCCCTTCAGATGTCAAGAACTGCTCGACAGTTTTAAGCTTTAAAGTTAGATTGGAAGGATTTAAGAAAGAAATGATTTCTAAAAACAGTGTAAATGATTTTTATTTTTGGAATGTTTCGAACGAAGTTTTAGGGAAAATTGAAGGACCCAGTTATTTAAGCAATAAGGAGACACATAATGAATATCTTTGGTTTCATCCTTTTGTGGCAAAGAAACGTTTTATAAATCTTTATTCCACTGGGAAGTTTTAATTAATTAATTATATATAATGCATTAGATTTTATTAATTAATAAAATTGAATTTAATAAATTATCAATGTTGATGGAAGAATATATCTATTTGAATTATTTTTCTATTTAGTGCAATGATATTTTTTAGACACTTGTGATGATGTAATGTCACAATCTTTACTTACTTACTTACTTACTTACAATACAACTTTTATTTACTGGGCCGCGCTCGCCGCTCAGCCTGTTAACGGGTGATACTCGTAAAATATTTGTTCCATATATTGGATATACTTACTGGGCCGTGCTCAGCCTGTAATTACGCCGAATCTCTAATGAACATGATAGCCTGAGTAGAGGTCCCCAGGTAAGCATATTGTATACGACACATGAGGAGCAACGTGCAAATAAACTGCCACAAACTGCTACAAACTGCCTACAAAACTGCTACTAAAGTGCTACATACAAACTGGCATTAACTGCCACACACAAGAGGGTCTAAGTGCAGTGCAAAAAATTGCTGCTCACTGCTGCTAGTGAGCAGCGCAGTGAGCAGCAGTTTCTTTGCAATCGCGCGCCGTTTGCAGCAGTTTGTAGAAGTTTGTGCCTGTTTTAGGAAAGACAAATCTTTTTAGGAAAGAAAAATTTTTATTTACCACAATAAATTCAAATTTCAATTTCAAACACATATACAGTACGCCGCGCACACAGCCACAATTTTGCCAGTTAGTGCCAGTTTGTAGCAGTTAGTAGCAGTTTGTGGCAGTTAGTGCCAGTTAGTAACAGTTTGTGGCAGTTTCTAGTCTTCGCAAATTGCATTTTACTCAACCGATGTATTTTCGGACGCTGATATGATTCCTATTATATTGTATATTGAGCGCGCACGCGCGCGCCTGCACTGATCAAGCTGAAATATTGATTGTACGCGCGATATCAAACTTTTCACATAATAATTGCACCGCGCCTTCCTTATTTGTCATTCGACAAGACTGTGTCAGAAGGACTTTCTACAAAACTGTACCAAATAAATTGGTCGAAAATAGAGTGTTTTTAGTTTAGTAAATAACTAATCAAATTTTGATCCTTCCAGATAGTTACATGGCTATAAGACGAATAATCTGTAAATGTTAGAGCGAATTTCTATGTGCCAAACTTGAATAACTATCGATTTTCAGCCTCGCAAATTGGAACAGTTGAGTTGGACTTTCTGAACCAAGGTACAATTTTTGGTACCAAAGCATTAATTTCGAGATCTTAGTGGTATATTTTCTTTTAACTTTCCAGATAGTAAGATAACTATAATAATAGGAACAATCTGTGCGAATTTCTATGTGTCAAACTTGAGATATCACTTCAAACTCAAGAAAAAATCTCGAAATCGGTAAAATATTTGGTACCAAGGCATTTGTCTCAAGATCTTAGTGGTAAATTTTCTTTTAACTTTCCAGATAGTAAGATAACTATAATAGGAACAATCTGTGCGAGTTTGGGCGAATTTCTATGTGTCAAACTTGAGATATCACTTCAAACTCGAGAAAAAATCTCGAAATCGGTAAAATATTTGGTACCAAGGCATTTGTCTCAAGATCTAAGCGGTAAATTTTCTTAAAACTTTCCAGATTGTAAGATAACTATAATAGGAACAAACTGTGCGAGTTTGGGTGAATTTCTATGTGCTAAACTTGAGATATCACTTCAAACACAAGGAAATATAAAAATCTTCAAATCTGTGGTTTTGAGTGTTACCAAGGACTTCTTGTTATAGAGCATAATATATCTTAATAGTTGTGCTCAAAGACCTTCTTTCTTCAATAAGCATTCATATATAATAATAAGTAATGAGTGGAGTATTACGGTGAGGGCTACCACGTATCATGACTGTTCAGTTAAAGTTGCATTTTCTATCCACTCGCACAGACTGTTCCTATTATATTTAAGGTATCTTACTATCTACTTTACCGATTTCGAGATATTTTCTTGTGTTTGAAGTGATATCTCAAGTTTGACACATAGAAAATATTTGACACATATTGTACCTTGGTACAGTTTGGTACAGAAAGTCCAACTCAACTGTTCCAAATTGCGAGGCTGAAAATCAATTGTTTAAAACAATAATTTCGAAAAATTTCTGCCAGATCCTAAGTATGAAACTGGCAATATCTTAATATGTAATTTTGGGTGAAATTCTATGTGCCAAATTTGAGATATCACTTCAAACACAAGAAAATATCTCCAATTTAACACTAGCTGTTACTCATGTTTTCAGATCGTATGCAACATTTAATAATCTACCGTCTCTGAAAAAAATAGGCGTTCAGCATGTTCAGAGAAAACAATATATGTGTTTTAATATTGAATGGGCGTGGTCTAAAATATTCGAATTTTCAAATTTTGACGACGGAATCCTCGAACCAGTAAGTACAGTATGCCATATTTGAGAGCAACAGCTCTCAAACATAAAACACAGCGAAGCTATTAAGGCCAACGTATGCCCACTGACTTTTGGCCCACCCTTTAGAAGTGGATTTTTCCGAATGAGGGAAAATCATTTTAAAAATTAGAATGTGCCTAAACTTATTGTTTTTTCATAATATGAAATAAAAGTTAGGGTGACACCAAAAAAGGTTTTGGTGTATGTCCCCTTAAGGAGTGAATTAATAATAATAAAACGGTTTTTTCTTCAAACTTTCTAAATATTGGAAAATTATACGACTGACAATATATATGTGCGTTTAATTCGAGATATCACGTCAAACACAAGAAAATATCTCAAAATCAGTCAATTGTACGGAACTCGATCAATTTCCTCGAAATTTCAATACACAAGTTTCTCAAAACTTTCCAGATAGTAAGATGGGTATGCCGTATGAGAGTGACATAACATGAGAGTTTTGATGAATTTCTACATGCCAAATTTTAGATATATGATTTCGATCTTTCAGTATAAAAAACAGGATCTATTTGGTGATGCTACTTGTACTGTCCGCTTTTGATTATTGAATTGTTCTCTATAGAACGAACATTTTGCAGACGAAGCTCTCTATCCTCAATACGATCATATCTGTAAGAAATTTCTCTACGAATACTTTAAAAGTATTGCTGCTGGACCAAATGAGAATCCAAAGGAGTTTCATCTCGTCTGACGATACGGATTATCAAAGTTTACACTGTTTTATGATCATAGCCATTTTTGTTGAATAACACTTAGAAAGTGGATGATTTCTGGAGGGTACACACTTCAAAGGCGGATGTTGTTGCAAAATGTGTCACATTAAACACACAAACATAAAGTTAATATACTCCCATCTGACTAAAAAAACAAAACGATGTCACATCTATATTCTATAATATAAATACACACTAGGAATTGAGTCAACTTTTACAAAAGTTGTATAAATCTCAGTCATTAATCATCACGTCATTCTAATCCCGTCAAAAATATGGAAAATAATGTATTTTCGCTTTACTTACAAAAGTTATGAAATTCATGCCCATGCCTCAAGGGCAGCTGGTCAGACCCCACAATATCATGAAATAATGTCAATAATGTCATTATTTGCGTATAAAGCCGCTTATTGGATATAATACAAGTTAATTGAATATAATGCGATTTACATAAAGTTTCGGACGAGTGTCCCAGTTAAACTCGCAGAAAAGTCCAGAGAGTTCTAGAAATTCTCCTTGTTGTAGAAGAACATGGACCCAGCTTGATTGTTCTCAAGTTCAGCGTTAGCTAGACTGCACGATTTATCCAGAGTCTCTGACAGAATTGCTGGTCCGCAGAAGAAAACACCTATGTCCGTCCTGTAGGTATACCCGATATTAAACATTCATTTCAATATAGGCCTCCCCTAGATTCGGATCTTAGGATTGGATTTGCAAAAATTCATAAGACAAATTGCTTAAGAAAAGCTAAGACAGCAAAATAAGCTGAGACAAAATTTAAGCGAACCTGAGATGGAGAAATAAGCTAAGACAGCGGAAAATCCTATGACAAAATTTAAAGAAACCTAAGACAGCGGAAAATCCTGAGACAAAATTTAAGGAAACCTAAGACAGCGAAAACTATAAGACAAAATTTAAGAAATCCTGAGACAGCGAAAAATCCTAAGACAAAATTTAAGAAATCCTGAGACAGCGGAAAATCCTGAGACAAAATTTAAGAAATCCTGAGACAGCGGAAAATCCTGAGACAAAATTTAAGGTATCCTGAGACGACTAAAAATCCTGAGACAAAAATTAAGGAAAACTAAGACAGCGAAAAATGCTGAGACAACCGGGAACCTAAGATACCAAAGATTTTGGAACTAGAAAAAATGCTTAAACTCACAAAATATTCCTAGTAAAAACAAGCAAAATCGCTTCACCATAAATTCTAAATCAGTACTTGTAGGAATGAACACAAAAGGTGTGGCAAAATATGGAGATTATAAAGGGGTAGGGATTTACCTGAAGAGAAAGGGGCAACAAAAATATGTTATCGTTGGTATGATCAAGGGTTTTATAACTATTCAAATATACATAGATATTACATCTTTACATTTCCTGCAAAGAACATAATAAATACAATAAAACTAGGTGTGTCAATAAGTCAATAGAATTTGTTTAAAATCTTTATGTACCAGCTAATGAAGTGAGCATCCCAGATCATAGCTTTACAGGTAGGACTGTATAATGGAGCCCCCGATGTTATAGCAGACATCACCTCCCCCCCCCCCCCCCTTACCCCTCCCTTATCTGATTAAAAGATACAAAACAGTCCAGAAATGACATACCTGGTTCAAACCTACCTTTGGAAAGCTCTGGTGAACCTGCCCGTGGAGATATAAATACACTTAACTTCAGCTCAATTGATAAATAACTGCCTATTTATCGCTTATTATTTATACCTGATACTATACCCTTTTTAGAAAGTTCGCAGCAATCACTCAGGTAATATAATCATACATGTACATTGTATTACATATTTTATACATCTACATTCATTCGAAAGGGGGGGGGGGGGGGTGGGGGTCAGGCCATGATTACGTAATTTTGCTGTCGGGGGGGGGGGGGGGGGGGGGGGGGGGTTGATTACGGAGGGGGTCGCGGTCGGGGGGTAAAAAATTGCTAAAATATTGATTACGTAACATGTGAACGACCCGTTATGAATTTTCTGAAACCGGACCGGAGCCGGAACCGGATATCGAAGCCAGATATCCGGCCGGATCCAGATTCAGCCGGATATCCGGTCGGTTCCTAGTATGGACTGACGTATATACTTGGGGACTATGAAGCATGATAACATTTGGTATTACACGCAATTGTCTTAAAATACCTTGATTGAACATTTCATTTTCTTATAATTAAATTATTTTATAGTTCGGGTTTCGTGCTTTTTAAAGGAAGACATATAATATATATAATGTTGACACTTAACATTAAAAATTGCTGATTAATTAAATTCTGTGTAACGTAGATTTCATTTTGCAGCTTCGACTTAAAGTTAAAGCTGTGTCCAACCGATTGTGTTTGACCATTTTGTTTCCTAACAACTTAAAAGCTCAAAAATCTATCATGCCCCACACAAACTGTTTTTAACGTCCTATGTACACTAAAACCCGATTCACCGTATAGTTCGCGGGAAAAGAAAATAGTAAATTGGGGTTTAACTGTACGTGGTTTTGAGAAAAAAGAAATCGTCAGGAACCTGTTCAGAGCGTGACGTCATGGTCAGTATTGCGAAATCCTTAGAGGCCATTATATGTCTACTATACTGCTTGGGATTGACTATTAAGTTTCTATAAAGGAGGTGGTTGGCACTTGGCACCACCTGTATTTAATTGCTATTGTTAGAATAGTATTCTACCAGCTACCTATTCACAAACTTTATAATGTCATTTTATTTAAATATCAATATGATTTTAGCTAATCTACAAGCACTTAACTGGGGACCCCCGGCTATAATGTTCATAAACATATTATAATAAAGAATAAAAATGTGGCGGAATGGCAGGCTGAGTGTGACCCAGTGAACAAGCACCTGTTCAAATTGCCTTTTAAATTCGATCAACAAATATACATGTACTAATGCAGTAACAAATAGTATATTTCGTGAAATCTCGCTTAATTACCCTCTCTATACGTAGCAAATTATTTGCAGCTGACAAACCTTGTAATGAACACACCTGCCTCAGATTTGTAATCTTTGACAATAAAAAGCGTAATTTTTCTTTGCCAATTATACTGTGCATGACTACTTGTGGTAAGCCAGTTTCTGTGCAATTCGAAATTGCATCGATTAATATTTTATTTTTGTTATTTTTTATTAAGGGGTCGTTCACATATTACGTAATCAGCGGGGGGGGGGGAGGGGGGGGGTCTTGATAACGGTTGATTACGGAGGGGGGGGGGGCCACATCCATAAAGTAAAAAATTTCCTCGCAGATACAAATTTTCTGATTTCTGTGGCCTGAACTTTCGACTTTCGCAATGTCGGCGAGTGAAGCAAAACAATTCTTAAGCATTTGGAGCTAGGCCCCAGAAAATTGTTCGCTTATTTGCTTGGCCACATTAAAATCTACAATAACAAAATATCTGAAGCCCTTCAAAATAGTGTGTTACAAAATTTAAGAAACAAATAGTGGCGTTCTCCTACAACCCACAAGTAAAACATGGCCAGCTGGCACCATCTGTCGTAGTTATCACAAATTATTACATATGCCTTGCAGAGTAGAGGAAACCATATCCTGAGAAATGTAAAGTGCAAACAACTTAAACTTTCGCACAGACAGGAATTGAAGATATGTTTGCCGCAGGGAAAAATTCTTGACGATTTTGCCCACGCAGAAGCCTTAAATCAATTTGGAAATAGAGATCATTTTCAAACTCAGTTTCAAGAGCGATTCAAAGAACTGTTAGTTTTTTTCCTCCTTCATATGTCAACAATTTTGGATTGTTTTTAAAAATTTCCTCTTTACCCCAAAAAAATTCAGACGATTTTTGACTATTTTGCCCACGCATACAAAGTCCTAGAAGCAATTTGGCGATCGAGATAATTTTAAAACTGTTTCAAGAACGATTCAAAGAACTGATAGTTTTTTCCTCTTTTATTTGTCAACAATTCTGGATTGTTTTTAGAAAATTTCCTCTTGGTCGGATCCCGACCGTTCTAAAAGGCCATCTCGTTAGCTTTTCGTGTTAAAAGCGATTTTTCGACGGTTATCACCTCTCTAGATGATGCTTAGAACGTTCGGATTCTATTGCATTTTTGTAGTAAATGCAATACGGGCGTTTTCGGCCATACCCTTTTTCAGGGTTTCACGGTCACTCGAATTTTTGTATTTCAGTCCAGAAACGGCGTAGAGACTATTCCCATACACCAAAATGTGCCTAATTTAGCCATATTTATTTACAGCTTATGAAGCAATAGCATTTGTCACAATATGTAAGATGAATCACTTTGTGTCCAGAAACAACTAAAAAAATTGGAGAATGATCTACTTTATTGGGCATCGCTCTTAATGGGCCTGGCCAGCAGCATATTTGTGTCTTACGAAAGGGCAATTTTTCAAAATTACGGTTTCTTTAGTAAAGGTCAAAGTAAAGGTCAAAGGGTCAGCTGCTAACAGCAAATTGTTCGCAATTGCCTACTCATGCAGAACATATACTCAAAAACACTCAGTTTAGGAGTGATTAGTAAATAAGTTTAACTTACTGCATGATTTGTGAAAACTCCAACTATTTTTCATTGGCACCAATTTAGCCAAAATGTAATGACCAAAATTCAATTTTTAATTTATTCATTCCATGAACTCAATATCATAAAATTGCACCTTAAAAACCGCGACTGATAAGACAAATTCATGCTAGCATATCTGAACATTACTAATTATGACTACCCGTTCATGACATAAAATCCCTGTAGTATAGCACAGTACTATGTTTACAGTACTCTATATTTGTACAAGTGATAAACCCCCTGTTGCAGTACTGTACAGTACTATCTTTACAGTGCTATCTTTACAGTGCTATCTTTACAGTGCTATCTTTACAGTGCTATCTTTACAGTGCTATCTTTACAGTGCTATCTTTACAGTGCTATCTTTACAGTGCTATCTTTACAGTGCTATCTTTACAGTGCTATCTTTACAGTGCTATATTTACAGTGCTATCTTTACAGTACTATCTTTACAGTGCTATCTTTACAGTGCTATCTTTACAGTGCTATCTTTACAGTGCTATCTTTACAGTGCTGAACACTGGTACAAGTGTTAGAAGTTTGATCAGACGCAAAATGTATAATCCATTTACTCACGCGGGGTTCTTCTCTCCAATCTCTACAAAGTCCTTGAACCAGTTGGGTCTCCCGAAACGAGTTTTTACCCCGGGAAGGGTGGTGATAGCATCCTCCTCATTGTCCATGTTCATTGCTACGTTCTCCATCATATTCTTGTCGTTATTGAAACGAGTCAGATGAGGTCGTACCTCCAGATACTGACTACATTCCAGCTCTTTTAGCTGTCAAATAGAGCAATGTTAGAATACTCAACTACTGACTACATTCTAGTTCTTTCAGTTGTCAAATAGAGCACTGTTAGAATACTCAACTACGGACTAAATATTATATATAGATAGATATACTTCAAGACAATTTGTTGTAAAACAGGGGTTCCAGAAATCCCACTTCCAGATACTCCTGAAACTTTGAAAACTGTTTCAGATCTCTAACTCAATTTAAACGTGGTTTTTAAGGCATCTGAATATGGCGATTTTGGGTTTTTTACCGAATTTCGTATAACAGTGCTGGCGCGTATTTTGCGCAAATTTTCTTAACAACCTCCACATAACTATTTCTTATTCCTGTCGTCTTTGAAATTGAATTAGAATATTTTAAACTTAAGATATGCCTGCTGAACTACTGCTTTCGGTGAGTCTTATGCCTGAAAACAGTAAAGGGGTATAATAGTATAGGGGGTAAATAGTATGGTGAGTATAAGGGCGACGGTCGGGCTTGCCAGCACTGTGATATACGTCCCAATTCCATTTTTTACTTTCCATACTGATCTTATTTAGCTAGAATGTAAGGTAAATATCAAAACGAATTAGCCCTAGCACTTAGCAACATCCCGGATGAGTTTATAACACAAAACGCCTTCACGCTTAAAGTTATATTAAAATAACCCCTCGTGCTAAAGCAAATCAGTGTTATTTTCATAACAATCCCTCGTGCGTCGCACTCGTCGCGGGAAATTAAAATGTAATCCTTGTGCGTTTCTGCGTTATGTGTTTTATAAACTTATAGATTGACCTGCAATTCTCCGCACAGCTTTTAAATGACATCATTATCCTCCAGTCAAGGGTTTAGTTCAGTTATCTGCGTTGAGCAGCAATCTAGATTTACCGCGGACGTTTTCCCGTTTAAAATTGCTAAAAGCTTATTTTTGGTCTAATAATTGTGTTTTCGAGCCACACGCAAAAATTCTCTGCTACTCTCTGTAATTACATAACTCTTCATAAATCTTAAAGTTAAACATTAGCATTGGGCTACAAGGAAATGACACAAAATGAGTAGTACCTATAACATAAAATAATTCGACGAATCTCGCGAGCTTGGCTCTCCCATTGCACACCTTTCCTGTCTTTACTAACAGGCTCGTTAGAATCTTAATGTTCAAATTATTTTCTTTTACTTTAAAAGAGAAATTAAGATTTTGTGACAAAAAGCACGTAGAATTGTAGGTATATTATCAGTTTTTCATTATCTTTTCTTACAATAATAAGATTAAGAAAAGATAGTGAATAAATAATATTAGGTGTGTAGGATTTCAGAAATTTCACAACTCACATTATTATTGTGCATTAAATTTCTATTCCGTTAACATTGGTTAGCACTTTTTGGCCAGTCCCAATCAACAATCAAAATAACCCTCATAACTGGACCATAGTTAGATATATTATACCAACTTAGAAATCAGTTCTAAACGGTCAACGTTTAGACAAGGAATCCCTTATGGATAAGTATAGTTTATCCTATTTTAATGGGTGCTTACCATTAGTTTAGCATATTAAGATTTGTCCCTCTCCCAATGTCAGGACACAGACCTGGCCAGAGTTCTCTTAGAGAGTTAGAGTTGTGCCTGACGTTTGGTTTTAACTCCCGCTCTCTGGAAATCTAAATTTACCGCGGACGTTTTCCCTCGGGTAAAATCGATAACAACTGATTTTGGTCTAAAAACTGATTTTTGGTCTAACGCGTCCTATTGTCTCCAACTGCTGCTGCTGGTGAGCGCTCCTACTAAATCGCTCGCCTTAATTTAAAAAATTCTTGTGATAATATAGAATTATTCTAATTCGGTGTTCGTCAAACCGTTAATACACAGTTGCCTCGGTGTAAAAATGTTGTCTCTGGTCCTTGCATATATTTTTATTGTTTATGTATCTCGAATCACACAGTATCTTGCTCCTAAACATTTCCCTTTTTTGTAACTTCCTGGCTGTTAGTATGGACATTTTCTTGAGATGAATGTGGTTGATCCCTGTCATAATCTTCAGATTATCTAGAGCCGTGCTTTTGAGATCTGGCTATCACGATGCTAGCATGTCTTTGTACCGCTTGCATCCTTTTCTTTTTTGTAACGGGCTTTGTCAATCCGATGCTACCACACAAAGGTGACATAACCTAGCGTTGGGAGAATTATTTGGTTATAAATTTTTTATCTAGACACTTATTTTACTTCGGTGTATTCCAACAGCCACAATGTTACACAAGTGCAACCAGCCAATTACAGGAAGCCGAAGGATCTTTTTGGCCAGTGACGGTTAAGGTAGTGTGTACCATACTTTCTTCGTCCGAGACTTTGCTGCAATGTGCAGCTCCTCATTTAACCCTCACACCCGATTTCTCGAGTATTCGGCTGAGTAGACCGGGGGGGCTGCATAGACCACTCATGATCCTTAGCTGAACGTCGACGACGCTCACCCCACGACCAGGCAGTCAATGCATCTCGTTCCTGTAGGAGTGTAGGGGCAACTATGTTTTGCCTATTGCTTTGATACGCGCCTGTTAATGTTGTACGCTTTATCGCACTTCTGCTGAACATGCAGTCCCCATAATGCATAACAGCTTTCTGTTGATTGGTACTCCCACGGTTACACGAAACATGTTAGCCTGTGAGCGTGTTAAATCCTGGGATTACACGAAACGTGTTAGTCTGTGAGCGTGTTAAATCCTGGGGTTACACGAAACGTGTTAGCCTGTGAGCTTGTTAAATCATGGGGTTACACGAAACGTGTGATCAACCAGATTATGTATAGATATATATATAACTAATTCTTACAGTGTCATCAATGACATAACGGAGAGTCTTTAAGAATCCACTGATCTCAGTCAATTCCTGTTCAGTGTCCCCTATTGAATAATTAAGACGTGTCAATAAATGAATAGATATTAACTGAAGAGAGGTCCTCAGCGTCGACTGGAGCAGGCTCAGGTGGGGGTGTAATTGTTGAAATGTGTTCTTATTTTGTTTCCTTTCTGAAATATTAATTCCAGGCTGTAATTCATAGACACGCCGAAATTTAAAATATAGAGGATGACAGAGAACAAAGGATGGAGCTACTAACGGATAGTTGAGCCTTTGGATTGTAAAAAAGAACGGGTAGCAGTGAACCCAACTGATTCAGTGAGCATCATGAAATTAAGATATTTCAGTAGAATGAATAGACATTAACTAAAGTCGAAGAGAGGTTTGCAGTGTCGACTGGAGCAGGTTCAGCTCAGCTGGGGATGTAAATGTTGAAATCAGAAATCCTTTCTCCTTATCTTTATTAATACGTCATGATATATTTGATTTCTGGTTGTAATTCATAGACACTCCGAAATTCAAAATAGTAAAGATGACAGCAAACAAAGAATGAAGTTACTAATGGATAGTTGAGCCTTTTAAAAGGACCCTGACAAGGAGAAGAAGCACACTTTCTATCGGGCATTATTCGAGAAGGATGGCTCTGTCCCGGCTCTGGTATCTTCTCGATCTACATTGCACATAGGTTATCTCACTTTCTGAACCTTGTAATTTGTATGTTGATGTTTACATTGATCCCCACTTTGTACAATGTACATATTATACACTATGTAATTTATAGATTAGCCCTTATAAAGTTATAACATCACGATATGCCATCTAGATGTAACCTATTTCTCACGCGTCTCTGCACTTGCGATCTTAGTACACATAAAATGATAGCAACTAGTAGTAGTATTAAACCCGTGATGCATGAGCCTCAATAGGATGTTACATCAATATACAGGGTGTGTAACTCAGATTCTCAGTTCGCTATATTTCCTAACAGCACTGTGTGTTCCTTTATTCAGGCGGGTTTAATCGGTCTTCATAACTGCACTCAGACAATTTTAGCCTCTTCCTCAATAAATCGGGAGGGGGGGCTACTGACTGGAGGATCCCTGGAAGAGGCTTTTAAGATTCTCGACGCCGGTCCTGATCACTTAATGGGCCGAATTTAGTGAATAGAATGACGCGGTTATATAGGAAACGATTAAAACTCACATAGAATCTCTTGTGTGCTCCCTTGGTAGGTTATAAGCCTACAACCATGTGATGAGCTTAGTTTCTCAACGGTCACATAAAATTTGCTGCTCTCTTTCTCCCTTCCTCCTTCTCTGTCAGCAATGCCATGTCATGTTGTGGTCTAATGTCTATTTACTGTAGAAACTAAAATACCAATGGCCGAATTTCCTCAATTCGTTTTTCGAAAAACCAATTAACTGAGGCACAAATAAGCGTTCCTGCAACATCAAAACGATTTTGGAACATCATTTGCCTGAGGAGTTGCATAGTTATAAGTGCAACCCTCCAACTATACTTCCCTGCCCCAACAATATCAAGATAGTGTGTTAAAATTGGCATAGGATGCTTTATTGCCTATATTAATCGATCCAAACTACGAAAAAGATCTGTTAATCTGATGACGATTACCTAACTCTTATAATAACTGATGTGACAAAGTAAACATGTCTTGCCCCTATTTTGAAGAGTTATACCTCTATTAGAATACTATGTAACTTTATCATCAATGAACTAGTTATTTAGCCAGCAAGGAGCTAACAGAGTTATAATAATTTGTTTGTGACGAAATTACCCTATTTTTGACCATGTTGCGGTAGTTTAATTGTGACACTGTTAACATATTACCACCCGATAATGATTTATGTGACTGGTGCGTGGTACTAGCAGTGTTGTTTGATCCATAGTACGTAATATAAGGGGTTTAAGCTGGTATATCATTATTTGTTCAATTTCACACATGTTCAGATATCATCAAGATTATGTGACAAAGTAAACTTGTTTGTGCCTTCTGTGTTTTAATTCCTTACGACTATATGATATAATAACAATTCCTAGCACTTCCAAGTTCCAGGCCATCAAATAAACCTACACTACTCAGCATTGCTTATCAGGGTGCCCTAAACATTCTTCACATGTTTTCTTAAATGTGTGACAGAGTAAACCTGAGTGCACCATCTAACGAAAAAACTCGTCAAATATGTAGGTAATGGTCATATGTACCCATCCAATCAACTGGACACTCAAAAATTTGGTTAAAAACGGCAGCAAGGGGTCCATATTTACTCCGTCACATGTTTATAGTGTGACAATGTAACCATTTCCGTGCCGGCCGTATTTAAGCGATATCTTATCAGCTGATTAAGATATCGTTAAGTGACAAAGTTAGCCTAGAGGTTGAGACGATTATCCTAACCATCAAGGGTTTGTGTAATTTCATAGTGTGACAAAGTCAACTACACTGTGCCTTTTAATAGGGTCACTTATATTTACCAATATCCTCAAACTCAAATGAACGTGTCCATATATATACAGGGTGGCCCAAAAGTATATATATATATACATACATATATATATGTGTAAAGCTTGAAACCAGCCGAACAGTAACTAACCTCAGTGACCACCTCGGATATAACAGAGGTGAACCAGCCAAATACAGAAGCGTCGGAACACAGCCAGTAGAAGTAGATTTTCTTCACCCCGAAATCAAAGTTACCACTCTTCAGCTTGTACCTGAAAGAGTGCAATAATTTAGTGACGTAGTGAGTTTTACATTAAGATACAGAAGGTTATCAGGGGTTGTGTCTGCCGTCTGGTATTCTGAGTAGAAGTAATGACCAACAAACAGTGACCAAACTTCTGAGAGCGTTACAGATCCTGAGCACCAACTAGTGTGCCAACTGGTGCCTGCAATTGATATTGGGGATGCGGCCATGCCCTTTTGGCCAAAAATGCCAGATTCCAAACACGAGCTTATAACCAAGATTTCTGCTAGTTATCACTCGCCGATGATATTTGAAACGTTTAGAAAAGAGGCCGGCCATGAAAGTATGTAAAATGTCAATAGTGTAAGCGTCGTTCGATGTATTTTGGACGCTGATTCCGAATTACCTGCTGTAAATATAGGGTTGAAACGCTTGCCCGAGAAGTTATCGGCAAAAACTGTTTTGGTCACACGACAAGCTGATGATCAGCTTCGGGGTCATGGTTACTGGATAGGATTAGGGTTTATAAAACCGTTTCATTGGGCTGCAAATCAACAAATTCATTAAAGTCACGTGATAGCACGCTGGCGAATTAATTAGTGAACTTGTATTATGTACTTTCCTCAATCTTCAGTTGTTGATATTTCGTTTAAACATCGATTTTTCTAGCAATGTAGAATGGCAAACATGCGGAATCTTCAAACGAAGTTAATATTCCTACAAATCATCTCGCTATCTCTCTGTGGTAAGCTACGTGACGTACATGAGCTGCTATTTTACTTATCATTGATAAAAAATATATTAACAATTTATCATTATAGAAAATAGAAATAATACCACTTATACCCGGTGAAATGAGATAATAAAGTATCAAATATTTTTTACCAAAACCAAAAATTGGGTAGATTGGACCATCGACCGTATCTCTTTTTTCCAGACACAAAGGAAGTAGATCAATTTAAGTGACCGTTCTCAAATTTATGCAAAATGATACCGGGAATGTAATCGGTCGTTCATTTTTCCCATTCATTCACGGCCTGCAAATTGTAACGAATTTACTAATTTAGGTTTGCTACATCTGATGTAGCAAACTCAATAGAAATCTTTTTGAGCTGCTTTCGGGCTGATACTTATTGTACTTCGGGATAAGAGCTGTAGGTAGTGTGTCCAATGAGGTAAAGTTTATCCAGTAAAAGTGCAGGTGTTGGAAGTATTATCTTTGTATTGACCACAGGGTGACAGGGATCAAACAGAAAAGAATCAAGACCTAAATGATAACATTGAAAATCCATCTGGTATCACTATAATAAGTTCAAATTGTTTACTTCTCGGTAATTCACTCCTCTGTTTGCTTTATGCTAAATCTAACAGCTGAAACAAACAGGGGTCTGACTCTGAGTTAACAACTTATACTCAAAACAGCATTTTCTAGATGTCTCAACCTACATAATATTATAGACTTAATTGCTGTGGCTTGTGTAGTTACATTATCTGATTGGAGATACATCTATTGTTAAATAAGTGTTTTGTTTAAATATAACTTAAAACTAAGATCTTGATACTAGTGACCTCCGTCAATGCAATTAACGCTCTAGGGAAAACAGTTTGCTGTTTTTTAGCATTGTAACAGTCTATATGCTTTGATCTTCTGCAAATACAAAGGTGTAAAGTTCTAAAATATTAGATTATAAAAGATGGCATAATATGTCCGTTGTAAGAACATTTTTTAACAGAGCTGGTCGCATGAATACTGCTGCCTATCGAGCGACGGCAAGGTACCTAACAGTAATCGGGAAATGAAGTAATCGGGAAAAATTTGAATTACATGGTTCCTGCAAACCGGATAACAGCTTAAATCAAATGATTTCATAATATACTGATTAAAAGTTTAACATAATGATATTTATGCGATGTATCGCATAAAGGTATACCTATACAATAAATTTGGTTAATACCATAATTTGAGTCACAAATTTCGCAAATTTGTATACTACCTGATGGGAAAAGGAAGTAAGAGCCATACTATGACTGTTGTCACGAGTACAGGCACGGCCTCTTAAGGGGAGATACACCAAAAACGTTTTTGCTCCGAACATCGATTTTATTTTATATTATGGTTAAATAGACAAAAAGAATAAGATTGCACACCTTCAAAATTTTCTAAAAATATTCCCTCATCGAGAAAAAAAATATTTTTCTTTTTCGAAAATTTTTCGAAAATTTGGAAAGTCTGTCACTGTAATACCGATAGTTCGGCCATTTTAAAAGTTTTTTGGCTGATTTTTTTACTGAACATTACTTACACTCCGTACAAGACAACCCCTTTAAAAGATTATATAATTGAACAATAAATGACCAAGTTACAGACCGAACAAGGTGAAAAAAGAAAAATTGGGATTTTTGCCTACCACCAAGGTTGTACATTTTACCACTCGCCCAGGTCATCAGATATCGCTTCAAAAATTCTTGTGAGTGTAGCTGATGATCATATCAAACTTTTTGGAACAGGATTTCTCTCAGTTTTGAGTTTTAAGGTATGAAATGTGGCCTAAACGACTTAGTAAAATTCATCGTAAAAAGGGGCCAAACATGGCAGAATTAAGGCTTAAAATGCCTATAACTCAAAAAGTATCAGTTTTTTTGAAATAATTTTTACAGGATCGTAATCAGCTTGGTAAGACGAATCTTTTAGTACCAAATTGATATTAGTTAAAGACACAAAATTTGTAAAGAATGTGTACAATTTGTACAAAATTTATACAAGGGGGGACCCTTGTGTTCGAGCTGGAAAATTATTTAAGACAATTTGTCTTCTAAAATTTTCGAAAAAGAAAAATATTTTTTTTCTCGATGAGGGAATATTTTTAGAAAATTTTGAAGGTGTACAATCTTATTCTTTTTGTCTATTTAACCATAACATAAAATAAAATCGATGTTCGGAGCAAAAACGTTTTTGGTGTATCTCCCCTTAAGGGGGCATACACCAAAACAGTGGTTTGTGCAATGTGCCGTCCAACCCAAATGACCCCATAGGCAGTTCAGTGACCATCTAGCGCACCGTTTCCACATTTAAAAAAATTATTTTGAGAATACCCATTTTTGTAATCGAGCATTTCCTGGTTAGAGTGGAATTTTCGGAAAAACACAATTTGTTTCGCGGAGAGGCTATAAGTTAATCATTTCTTGCGGTATCGGGTTGAAATTTTGCTCGCCGTCTATTCACATCTATTTTAAGGTGTGTGTAAAATCTTGATATCGTATCTAAAAAGCCTGGTGTGTTATAAATTTTTAAAGTTAAAAAAGTCCAAAAGTTGAAATTGTCCTTTTCAGACTTATTTTAACCAAAAAGTCAGTCAGGAAAGATCGGATTGATTTGATGGTTGACATGAACTTGTTCTCTGAATTCTGGTGCAGTTTTTGATGCCCTCAAAAATGTTTTTCCTCATTTATCTTCAGATTTATTGGACTTCAAAGCCAAACAACAAATTTAGGCACATTTTTCGTTTTTCATATTTACTGATTTTTCTTAAATTTTGATAGGAATGTGCTAGTGACTTTTTGAAGGGCGCAAAATAACCGCAACTAGCACATTTATTTCTGAGTTATGAACAACAAAACACCCTAAAATGCTTCCCTTTGAAGTTATGGGAGAAAATGTGATTTTTTGGCTTTGCGGATAAAAAATCACATTTCTTGCGGTATCACCCGATACCGCAAGAAATTATTAACTTATAGCCTCTCCGCGAAACAAATTGTGTTTTTCTGAAAATTCCACTCTAACCAGGAAATGCTCGATTGCAAAAATGGGTATTCTCAAAATAATTTTTTTTTAAATGTGGAAACGGTGCGCTAGATGGTCACTGAACTGCCTATGAGGTCATTTGGGTTGGACAGATTTGGTGTATGCCCCCTTAACACACTGTGCCATTTGTCATGATCTTAGGCTCGATCTCTAAACATACTATGACAATTGGGATGAAAATAATAAAAAGTGAGTGCTGTCACGTCGGCCGGGTGGTTTAGTGGAATTAATACATTTACTTCCCACACGGCCGACTGGGGTTCGATTCCCAGTGAGGACCAATTCGGTTCCCAGTGGGGACCAATTCGGTCAGATGCAGTTCGTCCACCAAACCATGGTGTAATGCTTTCATTAGAACTTCTATTCGAAAAAACTTTTTTTTTCTCAAAAAAATGTCTGTGAAAAACTTTCGAAGTTTTTCAAAAACTTCCTTTCCCAGTGTTTCAAGAAATTCCGATCATTTTGAACCGATAAACATTTTTATGATTTTTGGTAATTAGCTAATTAGTAACTATCCAATTATCTGATTGTCTGACATGAACATTTTTCTTCGTCGATATGATAATCACCCTCTATTAATTCGTAACCTTCTACGATGTTCACAGCTAAAGATATTTGACAAACAAGAAAGGAGGTAAAAAGTGGCAAAAGTGGCAAGAAGTTGCCTTAAGACAAGTGGACAATTTTGGAAAATTTGGCCAGCCGAATGAAACCTAAAATTGAACCTAAAAACGTCATAAATCCGTTGGAAGCTTCTTGTGTCAGTATATCGATTTTTCAGACGGATATGTCTGTACTATAGTACTATATTTGCACTCTGCAATGCCAATGTCCATATCACGCAAAATATAGACCTTATAAAGTAATCGTGACGTCACGTTATACATGACAGTTGGCACGAGTACTGAATAGACTGTGCCTGCAGTCACGTCAGGCACGGATTTTTAGCTAGGTACGGCTTTTGAAAGGGGAGTTGTCACGTATCCTTGGCACGCCCTATAAACACACTACATACATAATATGGTCATTACATCTGACTGCACCATGACAACAGTCATGGTATGGTACTACAACAGTCATAGTATGGTCGGGCCCTTAAATTCTGAGAATAACCTATGGGCGACATTCTTACAATTTCTTTACAATTTTGCTAGACCACCTCTTCTTTAAATTCATGATATTCATTAATCGTTGTTCAGTAGTCATGAGTTAAACATACAATTAAC